AAAACAGTTTTATAATAGTAGAAGAGCACTGGTATTCTACTTCCTTTGACATTCAAGAATGTACATATCTTAACATAGTCATGTAAATATTCAGCATTTCAACTTGTGGTATTCCATGTCAATAGATTAAATGTTCTGCAAAAGCATTTTTTAAAAAAATACAGATATCTGCTACACTAAAATTAAGTAAATGAAAAAAATATTATTAATTTGTAGGTAAGTCCAACTCTACACACAGACAATGCAGGGTACTCACACTTGTCGTTTGTGATGTGACGTCGACGTAGATGCCAGAATCCAAAATGTGAACAGTGTTGGCAATGTCTCAGTTTATATAGGAAACATTGCTGACGTCATTAGTGCCGCATGTCGATTACGATAAAGGAATTATAATAATGAACATATGATAAAGTTTTCTTTCCTAATTAATAAAAGAAAATGAACAAAGACTTCTTTAATTGACATTCATTTTGTCTGAATAATGTATCAAGAAGAAACAAAACACTTCATTTGTTGATGAATTTGAGCAATCAATCGATTAGTTACTCGCAGTTTTTGCATCTAACCACAGGTTTTTTACTTTTAAACCCAGGTTCTCCCTGTACTCAAAAGATTTTACCTGTACTCACAGGTTTTGCCTGTACCCAAAGATTCTGCCTGTACCCACAGGTTTCGCCTGTACCCTTATGTTTTGCCTGTACCCACAGGTTTCGCCTGTACCCTTATGTTTTGCCTGTACCCACAAGTTTTGCCTGTACCAATGGGTTTTGCCTGTACCCACAAGTTTTGCCTGTACTCACAAGTTTTGCCTGTACTCACAGGTTTTGCTTGTACTCACAGGTTTTGCCTGTACTCACAGGTTTTGCCTGTACTCACAGGTTTTGCCTGTACTCACAGGTTTTGCCTGTACTCACAGGTTTTGCCTGTACTCACAGGTTTTGCTTGTACTCACAAGTTTTGCCTGTACTCACAGGTTTTGCCTGTACTCACAGGTTTTGCCTGTACTCACAGGTTTTGCCTGTACTCACAGGTTTTGCTTGTACTCACAAGTTTTGCCTGTACTCACAGGTTTTGCCTGTACTCACAGGTTTTGCCTGTACTCACAGGTTTTGCCTGTACTCACAGGTTTTGCCTGTACTCACAGGTTTTGCTTGTACTCACAAGTTTTGCCTGTACTCACAGGTTTTGCCTGTACTCACAGGTTTTGCCTGTACTCACAGGTTTTGCCTGTACTCACAGGTTTTGCCTGTACTCACAGGTTTTGCCTGTACTCACAGGTTTTGCCTGTACTAACAGGTTTTGCCTGTACTCACAGGTTTTGCCTGTACTCACAGGTTTTGCCTGTACTAACAGGTTTTGCCTGTACTCACAGGTTTTGCCTGTACTCACAGGTTTTGCCTGTACTCACAGGTTTTGCCTGTACTAACAGGTTTTGCCTGTACTCACAGGTTTTGCCTGTACTCACAGGTTTTGCCTGTACTCACAGGTTTTGCCTGTTCTCACGTTCCAGATGACGAGTCACAAACACAACAGAAGATGTGAGCAGTGTGGACAACACATCGGTTGTTATGGGGAACATTGTACATTACATGCATGACAATACATCAGTTGTTATGGGGAACCTCGTATATAACTTGCATGACAACACATCAGTTGTTATGGGGAACCTCGTATATAACTTGCATGACAACACATCAGTTGTTATGGGGAACCTCGTATATAACTTGCATGACAACACATCAGTTGTTATGGGGAACCTCGTATATAACTTGCATGACAACACATCAGTTGTTATGGGGAACCTCTGGGGAACCTCGTATATAACTTGCATGACAACACATCAGTTGTTATGGGGAACCTCTGGGGAACCTCGTATATAACTTGCATGACAACACATCAGTTGTTATGGGGAACCTCTGGGGAACCTCGTATATAACTTGCATGACAACACATCAGTTGTTATGGGGAACCTCGTATATAACTTGCATGACAACACATCAGTTGTTATGGGGAACCTCGTATATAACTTGCATGACAACACATCAGTTGTTATGGGGAACCTCGTATATAACTTGCATGACAACACATCAGTTGTTATGGGGAACCTCGTATATAACTTGCATGACAACACATCAGTTGTTATGGGGAAAATTGTACTTTACTTGCGTGCTATAACAGAACACGGTAAAAAATTATATGCACCAAACTTTAAGAAGGTTTATTGTCTTTTACCACTTTGCGCCTTGAGATAAACAAAAATTCATTTATTTGAATATCTTCCTTTCGCAAATGTTCCATAATAATAGTTAATGAGGATGTTAATTGACATAATGTGGATAGATATATTCTTATCGTGGGTTTTTCCATCCCTTGCTGAAATAAAATACAGCTATCAACGTATCAGGTTTCCATGGGGAGTATCACGTGATGTAGCCATGCTGGCTCTGACACCTTATTAGTCACTTAAGAATAAATGTAACAAATGGTTACGCAATTCGTTTGGCCTTCAAAGTTCAAGTCTAATGTGGACGGCCGTGTTTGACGAGTTTGGTTCGATCATTATTGTTGACTTTTTTTTTTTGGAATCCCATCAAAACAAAACATCAAAACAGCCAGGTTTTTAAAACTATTTTTATTTTAATAACATCGCACCAGAGTTTTAAAATAGTGGACACCATTTCCAGACTATCCACGACTGCGTACATTGGGAAAAACAGGTAAGACAAACTTTATTTTTTTTTAATATCATGTAATATCATGTATTTTTTTTATTAATAAACCAAATGGCCAACCGCCTTTACGTTATCAAATTTGTGACGGGTACCTTATAGAGGTTCTACGACAAATTCCCGAAAGACACTTGCCCGAAGATCGTTTGCCCGAATTGACACTTTCCTGAATGCGACAAACCCCCGAAAAGACACTTGCCGAAAAGCCCCGAATGCCGTTTGCCCATTCGGTAAATCGGCCTTAGTGCAAGCGACATTTCGAAAAAAACGTCTGGCTCCCCCATATAGAGTTATGAGGATTCAAGTAAATTCTCCAGACTCAAGAAACAAAATTCAAGCCTTGTCAGCTCAACAATTTGACCAAGCCGTTCAACATTGTAATGGTGTCCATTTAATGCGATGTCCACACAGGCTTCTCTTTCAATTTTAGGCATGCAGATAACGAAATTCAAAGAGTAGTGGTGATAGATTGGACATACATTTAAAACATGAGACAGGAACACATCTTGAAACACCAGGGCACGAGGTAAATACATACTAACATGATTTGAAGAGCGACTCAACAACAATGGTATAAGGTTGGGCGCTAGGACATTTGGGGACTGGGTCAATAGGGCTGGTAAGTAGGTCATCAACCAGTTCTACGGCTCAATAAAACCTGCATGAGCCATAGAACTGGTTGGTGACCTACTTACCAGCCCTATAGGGCACTGGAAAAATGTGCACTAGATCAGGTGTGCACTTGGATAATTGAGTACTGGGTATATTGGGCATTGCGACAGTTAGGTACTGGGTGAATGGGGCACTTAGTCAAAGGGCATCGGGTCAGTTGGACACTGGGGCAGTCTGACATTAGGAAAGTTCAGTACTGGGTCAGTTGGGGAGTGGGTAAATGGGGCACTGGGTCAATGGGTCAATGGGTCAGTTGTTCACTTGGTACTGGATCAGTTGAGCACTAGGTGAATTGGGCACTGGATTAGTTGGGTACTGGGTCAATTGGGCATTGGATCAATTGGGCATTGGATCAGTTGGGCACTGGATAAGTTGAAGAAACTAGCCAGCATTGTTTCTATTGTTATGTTTTATATTTTACTATATAATATTTCACCCACATTTGCTGCTTTACTGAGTCAACCAAAAAATATAATCTACCAAGTGTGGAAAATTATCAGATGAACGTTGAGTTGATGGGTAACTAAACCAACCTGACACAGACCACGTTTTAAATAGGCCACTGTGAACGTAGCCAAAATGACAGGCACGGCATTACCTATAGCAGGTGTCATAAAAAGTGCTTCCAAACTTAGCGATGGGGGGATGGGTGCAGTGTAGAGAGGGGGCCTTAAAATTGGCCGTAAATAAAATTTAAAAAAACAATTAGTTTGTCGATTTATTTCCGTGCATATCTGCCTACAATCCGAAAACGGTGGTAAGGTTAATCACAGTATATAGTCACTACCCCATGTTGTATTTGATTTTTGAAACGTAGCAATTTCTTTTGCAATGGCTGGAATATTTTTATACTTTAATTAAAGGTTAATTAATAGGGCTAATTGCATCACGCGGTTTTATTTTAAGCCATTTCTTTTTAACGCCGTGCAAATTTTGCTCTCATTCCAATGTACCAAGTAATTGTCTTCGCCTTCCAAACGTAACAATGAGATTCGTCATAAGCTTAAAAATCCAAAAATCAGCTTGTGATAAACTCGTAAGAAATAGAAAAAAAACATAATTCCTATAGAAAATATATAGTTTAATTAGTGTCACCCCCCCCCCCCCCCCAAGCAAATTTAAGTTCCTCCTCCCCCAAAAGTTTCAAGAGCTCCCTTCCTCCTTGCCAAGAGAAAATGTCTAAAAGAAACACTGCAGATCACTTTGAAGCATGATGGTGGTATTACGCCAGTATTACAGTGATATTAAATAGGTATTACAGAGCGTGGATTCTACGTTATAAGTGACCTCTGACCCCGAACGTGACTCTGTCTGGTAGAACTAATCTCCAGGAAATTATTTCAGAGATTTTTTTAACAGTACACCGGCTAGCCTGCCTACGGGATAGACCTGAGAATTTATTTGTTTCACCTAGAAAAAAATCTTTGAAGCCTACGAACGATCCCCGCGTTTTTTTTTCCCAACACGATTTTTTTTTCATAATACGATTTTTTTTCCGCACACCATTTTTTTCCCATCTACTATTTTTTTCCCCTCACATATAGGATTATTCTGTCTAATAAATCTTGACGTTATGTCGAGGTATCGCATGAAAGGCCTTTCTGAACCTGGGCACGTAGAACATAAGTTTCTGTTGGTCGTGTGGCTAGAGGATTGTGGGTCCAGGCAGGTACGGTTATATTTTGTTTTATTTGGCTCTATACTTTGTCTTTATAGTTATTGCATCTCTGTACTTTCTCCCTCTGGATTTTTCTATATTTCATCCCTCTTCATACTTACTCTCTCAATCTACTTCGTATAGTTTATTGCCATACGGGATGTATCTCTGTACTTACTCCTTCACTCTACTTTTTACATGGTGTCTGTTAGCTTTTGATGTTGTAATATTACAACATCATCGTAAATTAAAGGTTGTACGGTGCTGTGTCAGTCAATGTGTAATTAAAGGTGAGGATTTATGTTAGTCAAGATTTGGTGTGTTGGCCAATTAAACCGCCATTTATTAGGCTGGGACATTGTTTTTACATAGAGTGTGTGAAAGTTGAGCGTCGGGATGTTCTATGTGTTGTGTTGGGTGTCGTGTGTTGGGGTGTTGTGTGTTGTGTTGGGTGTCGTGTGTCGTGTGTCTGGATGTATGTCGGGATGTGTGTTGGGTGTTGTGTGTTGGGGTGTTGGGATGTTCTGTGGTGTTGGGGTGTTGTGTTGTGTTGGGGTGTTGTGTTGTGTTGTGTTGTGTGTTGTGTGTTGGGGTGTTGGGATGTTCTGTGGTGTTGGGGTGTTGTGTTGTGTTGGGGTGTTGTGTTGTGTTGTGTGTTGTGTGTTGGGGTGTTGTGAGTTAGAGTGTTGTGTTGGCGTGTTGTTTTTTGTTGGGGTGTTCGGTGTTGTGTGTTGTTGTGGGGTGTTGTGATGGGATGTTGTGGTGTGTTGTGATGTTGTGGTTGGGTGTTGTGTTGTGTTGTGTTGTGTTGGGGTGTTGTGTTGTGTTGACGTGTTGTGTTGTGTTGGGGTGTTGTGTGTGCTAGTTTCTTGACTTGACCTGTAACTTCAAATGACTTGATTTTTGACTGCACATGACTTGACCTGTAACTTCACATGACTCGATCCTTGACTTCACATGACTCGTTTCTTGACCTCCCCAGGTTGTGCAACATGGTGCCGCCCTTGTTTACCTTGCTAGCTGCCATGATGGCCGGTCACTCACTCATCAGCTGTAGAGCAGAGTTTGGTACGTTGTTTAGTTACGTCCCATATTCTGTTTATTAAAAGCTTTTATTTAGTTCTGTTTGTTTGTTTCTTTGTTTGTTTGTGGGTCTGTGGCAAATCTTGTAACTCAATTTTGACCCTCTTCTAATGCAGCGATATCGTTCAAACTTTCCAGATACGTTCCACTTCGATGACTATACAAGTCTATCAATTTTTTTAAATTCAATTAGATGTTTAATTAGCCATAAAAATAATTAAACGGCTTCGAAAGCTTGTTGCCATAAAGATTGTTTATATTTGTTCTATATATTTTTTATTGTTCTTTTAGAGAGATAAGTCAACATGGTAAGAATTATACTTTTGTGTATTACTAGTTTTGTTAAATATTACAAATTACAGAAATCAGGATATCATGAGTTAAGATTGTTTTCTAGAAGAATCTTGCATGACTTAGGGGTCATCCATAAATGACGTCACACTCGTAGGGGGGAGGGGGGGTCCGTAATTCTGTGACGATGTGTGATAGGGAGGGGGGGGGGGGGTTCAGATGTTGCGACGTCACATTTTTGCATTATAAAAAAGCAATGTTAGAAAACGAATTTTAGACGTTATTTCGCGTTTTAGATACCTGTTTTAATAAATTGTAATAGTTTAGGCAAGATTTTGGAAAAATATCGATGTTTAAAAAAAATTCAACTGCAATTTTGAGGGGGGTTCTAGGTTGAGGTGTGACGTCATTTTAGGGGGGGGGTCTGGCTTTTTGTGACGACGTGTGACGGAGGGGAGGGGGGAGGTAAAAATCGTCCAAAAAAGCGTGACGTCATTTATGGATGACCCCTTAAGCGACTCAGCATGAAAGATTGAAATTGTGTTCTTATGCTTTCAGCTAAATCTATTTAATAAACACTACTAAGTTCTGGCGAATTTCCCATATTACACGGACTGGGTTAGGGATTGGTTTTCTTAAATTATGTTATATGCCTATAGGTTGTAATGCATAGCCTTTTTATACACAAGTGCAGTTGGTTTTACGAGGGGGGTAGCATTTCTTTATGACGTCCGAAAAAATATCGAATTTCAGACCCCCTTTCCACCCTGTTCACATGCGTACATCGGCGGAGTCTACACATGTTTATTAGTCGGCACAAAACTGGACTTCTAATTCCCTTATTCGATAACATGTTATTGTGTATGGTTTCATTAGTAAGAATAATAATGTATTAGTTGATTTATTTACCTTAGAAATGTCTGTCTTGAAATTAGAATTTTTTACATTTCTTGAAAAAAAGAAAAATGTTTTAAAGTATAAATACTGATCTCCGATGACACCGATTTTTTTTTGTAAAGATTTTTTTTTCATAACAACCAAAAACTAAAACACATTTATTTTTTATTTTTTTTTATAGAAAATTTATTTAATAAATCAAACTTTATAAAAAAAAGCTTCTTAATGCAATGAAAACAAGAACATAAAACAAATTTACATTTTCTATTATAGGCATTTGACCCTCATAAAATGTCTTAAATATGTTAGCGACCAATTGTTTTATTAAAGTAGGCATGTTTGTTTTATTATCTTATGTTCAGTACATTTTTACTTTCTCGTATATACGAAATATAGAGAAAGTCTTGTAATCGTGCAAAAAAAATCGAGATTTTTACAAATCTCGAGGTTTTACACCTCACTGATGCGGAAAAACATAATTTTGCAATCTTGTCCGTATGTCTGTGTGTCTGTGTGTCTGTCTGTATGTCTGTCTGTGTGTCTGTAAACACGATAACTTGAATACCGTTACAGCTAGGTTGATGAAATTTCATATATAAGTATTTTATCAAAATCGTAGATCCGTATCAACTTTTGAGCGATTTCCGATAACCGGAAGTGGTACTTTTTCTACTTTGAATTTTTCAAAAGCATATAATTTGAGTACTATTTCAGATAGATAAATGAAATTTCACATGTAAGTAAAGATCTAATTCTCTACCTTCTGCTAAATTTTGAGTAATTTCCGTTGACCGGAAGTACTAATTTACGCTATTTCCGATTTCTCAAAAAAACGCATGTAAATTTATAAAGTACTAATAATATTGCGCACTATTATGCACATTTTGTTTGGGCGTTCGCTTGGTGCGCAATTCTTTTTTCTATGAGATTCTATTCTATTTTTGAAAGTTTAAGTAATTAAAAATCATGTCTATATTCCAAGTTATATAAGAATATTCGAGAACGTTTTGGGGAGATCACTCCCGGTTTATTATTACTTATTAATAAAAAAAAAATTAAGATCATAGTCGAATCTCCGACAAGAAATCAACCAGCTGTGAAAAAAATAGATACCGTCATCAGATACTTGATCTAGCAATCGATAATTTTGTTATCTCACCCTCACCTTTTATTATTACATTTAATAATCTTTTAATGATATTTTAATTACTAATCAATTGTCTAATTAAATAAAAATTGTGATATTCTTGCATTGTCACCGGAGACGAACGTATCCGAACAGCGAATCGCTGTAACAAAAATGTTACAGATTATCACATGTGATCAATGGAAAAGCCATATAATTTGGGCAGGCGACAATGTCATATTTGGAGTAATATAGTTCTTGTACGACCCACAAAAAATGGTTGAACTATCTGCACTTGTCTTACATCGTAATATAGTTCATGTACGACCCAGAAATTTAAAAAAAAATGGTTGAACTATCTGCACTTGTCTTACATCGTAAGGCAGGATTAGACATGACCTATCAAAACGTCAACAACACGTCAGTACCATATCTGCTGCTTTTTGATGGTGGTTTTTGACCGGATATAGGTCATCGGGTCACGTCACCAAGTGGAGTCTTCGGGATGGAGGGGCCACCCAAAAAAATGTGAATTTTAGACCCCATCCCCCATTTCTCTCCACCCCCCACCCCCCCTCTCACGTCCACACGCGTCCACTTCCAATGAACCCCCCAATCCCCTAAATTTAGTAAATATCTGCCTAATTTTTTAATTCAATAACATGAAATCTCGTTTTATACACACAAAAAATACTTATTGCATAAGGCTCGCTCAGCTGAAAAATGTCTAAAAAAGTAAATGTTAGACTTTTCTAAAGTATGGAAGTTTTCCGGCTGGCTTTTACACACTATTTTTTCTAAATGTAGTCAGAGGTTGGAGGCAGCCATCAACCATAAAATATTTGTTTTTATTAAAGATGGTGGTTATATATCATTTGTGGCGGTGTAGCTAATAATGACTACGAGCCGACCCGCGTCGGAGCATACTCCGCTATTTAGTGACGGGTGAAGACTTTCTGAAAGACACAGTTGTCCAAATGGGGTGGGTGGGTACACACTGTTGCGCATACCTGGAGAGCGAGGGAGTGAGCGGGAGGATGGTTAGATAGTCGGCGTACGGGCGTGGTGTCCCGCATGGTTGGTCGACGTAGAGAATTGTATATATAGATATGGGTTGAGGTAAAATTCGACTAATCAACTTGACGTCATATAACTTTTACTGAACCTTACGGACAGTGTTTCTTCCAGACTTTTTTCTCCGGGTGGAGGGGGCACTTGATATTTTCGGGGGGGGGGGGGGGGGGGTGGGGGGGTGGGGGGGGGGGGGGGGCGAAGAAATGCCTGGAAGAAACTCTGCTTACGGACACCTCTCGCTACACGTGTTTCCATAACAAACCACATCTCCCACCTTTCTCGTGAGCCTTACACACTCTATTACGCGAGCTCAAACTATATGCGGACATCATATACATTTCTAATATAAATTCTGTATTAAATTAGTTTCCGTAAACTTGCGTCGTGGTTCAAATTTATAGCTTATATCCTAAAAATGAATTCACATCTAAAATATACAAAAATATACTGTAGAATAAAGAGCAAACTGCCATTTTATATAACTTAGGAAAATTTATTTTTTATAAAAATTAAACTGAAAAAAATTTAAATGCTATACAGAACTATATGAAAGAGTGTCATTTATTTCCCACAACCGCAAAAACCTGCGTATATTTTGGGGATAAAGCCCCCCCCCCCCATCCCACAGACACACAGTCTTTTATTGTCCACGGGCCTCTGGCTGATCAGTTACTGAACTCGACCCTCCCCCCCCCCTCCGTCCATTCTATCTGTAAGACAAAAGGTTTACAATGCACCGATGGCGCACCTATGTTGCTGTATAACAACACACATTCTGTACTAAAATGGTGTCATTTGTGTGTCTTCAGTGGCCTGTACCAACGGCAGACAACTCTGTGACACGGCCGAGAGCTTGAGTATCGTCAACAACAACTTTTTCTGCTGTGAGCCCGGCTTCAGCATTCAGTGGCGACGTTCGAACAGTTCAGTCAACAGTGAATGTGTCTGTGAGAGGTTTTATCAAGGTAGGTAGTAGCACGCTACCTCTAAGATGTTTTATCAAGGTGTGTAGCACGCTTCATTAGAGGTTTTATCAAGGTGTGTAGCACGCTTCATTAGAGGTTTTATCAAGGTGTGTAGCACGCTTCATTAGAGGTTTTATCAAGGTAGGTAGCACGCTTCATTAGAGGTTTTATCAAGGTGTGTAGCACGCTTCATTAGAGGTTTTATCAAGGTATATAGCACGCTTCATTAGAGGTTTCATCAAGGTGTGTAGCACGCTACCTCCAAAAGGTTTTATCAAAGTATGCAGCTCGCTTCATTGGAGCTTTTATTAAGGTGTGTAGTACGCTTTCATAAAGGTTTTTCAAGGTGTGTAGCACGATTCATTAGATTTGATCAAGGTATGTAGCACGTTCATTGGAGGTTCTATAAAGGTGTGTAGCACGCTTTGTTAAAGGTTTTTAATCAAGGTATGTAGTACCACACATCCTCCCACACACCCTCCCACACATCATCCCCACACATCCTCCCACCCACAGAAACCCCATGCATCGAAGACGAGTACCAATGTCGCGGCGCCACCAGTCGGACGTCAGACGGGGTCAAGGTCAAATGCTGTCTCCATGGCGACCGTCTGAACAGCGTGAGCAACTCCATGATCAACGGGGTCATGGCCAACTACTGCAAGTGTATCCGTTACGTCACCAGCGACAACCCCAGCGGTCAGACGGTCAGGCCGCCTGCACCCAGGTACAGTACATTTCAGTCGTCTGCTACTGGATAATTATAACTTAATGGGTTTGTGGGTCAGTCACTCAAGCCACCAGGTAAATTACATAACATCTTAGTCGTTATAATTATGTTTTAATGGGTTTTTAGGTCAGCCTATGAAACCCGTGCCCCCCCCCCCCCCTCCCCACAACAGGTAAATTACATAACATCTTAGTCGTTATAATTATGTTTTAATGGGTTTTTAGGTCATCCTATGAAGATCCATTCCTCTCCTTTCTACCCCCTCTTCCCCCCCCCCTCCCCCCCCTCCCCCCGCAGGTAGAGTACATAACATCTTAGTCGTTTGCTCGTGAATAATTATGTTTTAATGGGTTTTTAGGTCAGCCTATGGAGACCTCTTCCCCTCTTTCCCCCCCCCCCCCCCTCCCCTCCCCCGCAGGTAGAGTACATAACATTTTAGTCGTCTGTATCTGTAAGAGTCGGGTTGGGGTTGCCGGGTTGTTACACCACAGGTCTGATTTTCATCCACGAACTCCCTAGAGCAGGGGTCTCCAAACTACGGCCCGCGGGCTGGATGCGGCCCGCGAAGTCCTCTCATCCGGCCCGCGGAGATCTTTTGTCCAAGGAAATTCGTTTGTTGGTGATGAATGAGGAACTTTGCCCAGAAAAATCAAAGACATGCCTGGAAGAAACTGGCCCCCGAACTGAAATTTGATAGTTAATGCGACCCTCGGACTGAAAAGTTTGGAGACCCCTGCCCTAGAGGTTACTAGTTTTGTTTCACGTGCTCTATTGCAAATAGTTCCCACAGCCTTTCGTATTTTTTTTTACCTCTTTACTTATTATTAATCAGTGTTTCTTTAAGGATTCTCTTGTGGGGAGGGTAGGCAAAGTAGTAAAAAAATATAAAATTAAAAAAAAAATAATGATAATCCCCCCCCCCCCCCACTCCCCGACCTAAAAAGTTTCAAGTGCTTCCATTCCCCCCCCCCCCCCTTCCTCTCCGAACTCAGAAGTTTCTAGTGTTTCATAACTGATTCCCGGAAAGGATTAATGGCATTGCAAATACGTGTTAAACGGGAAAATAACTTAGAGACACGAGCAAGTTGATCTACATGCATTCTGCGTGAACCCCTGTTCTTCTTGTAGGCAGATGACGCCCATGGAGGAGATGCAGATGCTGGGGGCCCTGGGGCTCCTGCCCGAGGAGCTCCAGGCCCAGATGGGGCCCATGTCGGGGCAAGCACAAAATAACGTGGATGCTAGCTTGGGTAGATGGGCTTCTAGCTTTATGGAAGGCTTAGTGCAAGGGCTTGTTAAGGCTGTTGATCAAGGTACTCGTACTGTTTAAATTTTTAAAGATTAAAACCATTTTCCCTGATATATATATATATATATATATATATATATATATATATATATATATATATATATATATATATATATATATATATATATATAGGTATTAGTACATATTTATCATTATTAATTGTAATATATAATATTTTATACACTATAACATTGTTCGGTATAAATTTTAATTTCCAAAGTACCCATACGGTGACTATCAATTAAGATTGTTAATTTAGATTATGATTAAGACGTTTAAACTGTAAGGTTATCTTTAATTGGTGTGTTTTGTCTGAACCCAGCCAATCAAACCAGAGGAACCAACACAGCACGCAGGCGAGTCACAGCCCCACAAACATTGGCTGCGTCCAACATACAACGCGGCATACAACAACAGGTAACTGTAGAGTTTGTCGATTTAGCCATAACCACATACGTATACGGGAGCTTTTTTTTTAACAAAGGGGAACTACTCAAGTAATATTTTCAGCAAGACTAATTTATCTTGGTTATATCCCTTTATATATTTATTTATTTTATTTTTTTTAAAGAGGGGAACGGGTAAAAAAAAGAACCTTTTTAAAAAGCCTTCGTTTGCCATCTTATTTTTTTATGTTTCAGTATATGGCGAATGTGCCTATGCAGCGAATGAACGGATTAACGCCGTACAACACAGCACAGATCCATGGACTGAATGGATTTCCCCGCAACTCTCCGTACACCCAGAGTCTAAACGTCAAGCCCTTAGCGCAAGCGTCGCCTAGCAACACCAACCGAGTCAGCGAACGAAACCCCTACAGCAACGTTAGGCCATCTAATCCAATACATTAATGATTTCATCCCAGCACAGTGTCCTGGCTAAAATTATTCCTACATAAATAACGGGCACCCATTTGACCACAGTGATTACATCATAATTCTAACACACTGAAGTATTTATTATTATATTTTATTCAACTTTTCCGAGGGTTCTTTCGTTTCCCTCCCTCTTTCTGAATTCCTCCACTCATAATCGAGACCCACCCTCTAAAAAAAAAATAAACATCGCACTCAAGTCAACAGTTCTCCCCAACCACTATTTCCGTTTCCTTTTTTAAAGGGATATAACAAAGTTTAGGCGTTTTACATGTAAATATAAATTGAGTAGTTTCCCTTGGTTTAAAACAAACGCATTTTTAATGTAATTTAATATATATAAGTAGCTTACAATTCTGGGTAATTAGTAGACTATTTAGATTAATTTTCATGTATAATTTGATAAAACGCCATGCTTCAGTTGAAAAAGAATTTTTGTTGTTCTTTCTCCCCGAATCTCCCTTCCCCCCTTTACAAGGACTGTGACGTCGATCATGGATGGCCCCTTACAAAATATACACTGGGTAACATTTGTTACATCCCCTGCTCTCTCGCAACGTCAAAGTAATGGTTCCTGATCTTTCCCTCCCCGTCCTCACGTAATTTATAATTGACTTCTAGAATTATCTATGTCTATGTATTTGTAAACGTCGTGGAACTCATTCAAAATTAATATTCAAATTACTAGATTAAATTATTTTTATTAATGTTTAGGCCTACTTGTTTGTTTATAATATATACATCGTAGAACAGATTTCGGTGGTTTGGATTATCGAACCTTTTTTTCAGTTGGTTGTAGTTTCTTTAGCCAGTTTCGAATGTAGAGGTTTAACCAAACAATTAAATCTTTCTTTTTTTTTTAATATTAGACTAATATTCAATAATTAGATCAAGTCAAAATGGTAAACATTTCTAAAAGTTGTGTAAAGCCTACAGAAAATACAGCTTTTTTTTTATTTTCCATAACTCTGTTTCTAATCTCAGATTGCAATAAAAAATCTAAATACTTTGTTTCTGCGTTGACTACCACTTAAATTGTTAAAAAAAAACAAAAAGTAAAAGGGGAGCTAAGCAAATGACAAATTTATTCCATAGGCAGTAATACAAATAAATCTGGGCACTAAATCAATACATTGTTTTAATTTGCCTGACGACCATTGACCTCTTGTTTTACGTGAACAATAATGTAATAAAAATTAAATGGTATGGTTTTTTACTTATGACTTGTACCGTAAACAGGATTACTCAGTTGTTTAAAGCCTGTTAAAAAAAAACTTAAATGTCACCAAACTACATCAAACAGAAAAAAACTGGTCAAACAGCAGATTCTATTTGACTTGTTTAAAATAAAAAGTCTTTCTGTGTGGGGTTCTCCTTAAATTTTACATTGGTCAAAAATCAGATTTTGGTTAGTATTTTTATATGTCCGTCTTTGACTCATTTATCATAAATTTGACAACTTTAGGATGCTTAATGGAGTCAGTTGATTTTCTCTGGATGCCCTTGTCCAGACTACCAGTTGTCCTGTCTTCACTCTGTTGACCAACACTTGCGCCATCCAATTCCCCTTCAACATCATCTGGTTTCTCTTCATGTCTGAGGAAGTAACATGCTAAAATAAAATAGCTATCAACACACACTGTTAATTATGTTAACACTCATCAGACCCAAGATTGAAGTATTCTAGTCATTCATTAGTCTTACAGCACTTCTCTTCCTAATTTGTTTCAGCTATCTATCCTAACAATATTCCTGCCATTACCACCTATATATCTATCCTAACAATATTCTTGCATCTAACACCTATATATCTATTCTAACAATTTTCCTGCCTCTACCATCTAAAGATCTTTTTAAACAATTTTCCTACCTCTATCATCAATACAACTATTCTAACAATTATCATTCCTCTACCACCTATATCTATCCAAACAATTTTCCTGCAATTACCACCTATACATCTATCCAATTTTCCTGACTCTACCACCGATATATCTATCCTAACAATATTCCTGCAATTACCACCTATATATCTATTCTAACAATTATCCTGCCCCTACCACCTATATATCTATCCAAACAATTATCCTGCCCCTACCACCTATATATCTATCCAAACAATTATCCTGCCCCTACCACCTATACATCTATCCAAACAATTATCCTGCCCCTACCACCTATACATCTATCCAAAAAATTATCCTGCCCCTACCAGCTATATATCTATCCAAACAATTATCCTGCCTCTACCACCTATATATCTATTCTAACAATTATCCTGCCCCTACCACCTATATATCTATCCTAACAATATTCCTGCCCCTACCACCTATATATCTATCCTAACAATTTTCTTGCCTCTACCACCTATACATCTATCCAAACAATTATCCTGCCCCTACCACCTATACATCTATCCAAACAATTTTCTTGCCTCTACCACCTATACATCTATCCAAACAATTATCCTGCCCCTACCACCTATACATCTATCCAAACAATTTTCTTGCCTCTACCACCTATACATCTATCCAAACAATTATCCTGCCTCTACCACCTACATCTATCCAAACAACTTTCCTGCCCCTACCACCTATACATCTATCCAAACAATTATCCTGCCCCTACCACCTATACATCTATCCAAACAATTATCCTGCCCCTACCACCTATACATCTATCCAAACAATTATCCTGTCCCTACCACCTATACATCTATCCAAACAATTATCCTGCCCCTACCACCTTCACATCTATCCAAACAATTATCCTGCCCCTACCACCTATACATCTATCCACATAATTATCCTGCCCCTACTACCTATACATCTATCCAAACAATTATCCTGCCCCTACCACCTATACATCTATCCAAACAACTTTCCTGCCCCTACCACCTATATATCTATCCAAACAATTATCCTGCCCCTACCACCTATACATCTATCCAAACAACTTTCCTGCCCCTACCACCTATATATCTATCCAAACAATTATCCTGCCCCTACCACCTATACATCTATCCAAACAATTATCCTGTCCCTACCACCTATACATCTATCCAAACAATTATCCTGCCCCTACCACCTATACATCTATCCAAACAACTTTCCTGCCTCTGCCACCTATACATCTATCCAAACAATTTTCTTGCCTCTACCACCTATACATCTATTCTAACAATTTTCTTGCCTCTACCACCTATACATCTATTCTAACAATTATCCTGCCCCTACCACCTATACATCTATTCTAACAATTTTCTTGCCTCTACCACCTATACATCTATTCTAACAATTATCCTGCCCCTACCACCTATACATCTACCCTACCCTAAGACACCACTGCTGTATTAAAGCACTCAAGTAGTGTCTACCAGTCAAACAAAAAGGTGTTTGTTTACCCCTCAATGTCCTCTGTCAGTGATTGATTGCCAGTGCCCACAGAAGGCTGGATGACTGCTACCACTTTATCCGTTGCATCCAACTCAATTTTCTTTTTCTTCATGAGGAAAAAAACAAAACAGAAACTTCTCAAAAATACAACAGATTCACTGTAGTGGTCATGTTTAATGATGAGATTGGGAGGTTTAACATCGGGAGGTTTAACATTGGGAGGTTTAACATCGGGAGGTTTAACATCGGGAGGTTTAACATTGGGAGGTTTAACATTGGGAGGTTTAACATTGGGAGGTTTAACATTGGGATGTTTAACTTTGGGAGGTTTAACATTGGGATGTTTAACATTGGGAGGTTTAACATTGGGAGGTTTAACATTGGGAGGTTTAACATTGGTAGGTTTAACATTGGGAGGTTTAATATTGGGAGGTTTAATATTGGGAGGTTTAACATCGGGAGGTTTAACATTGGAAGGTTTAACATTGGGAGGTTTAACATTGGGAGGTTTAACATTGGGAGGTTTGACATTGGGAGGTTTAACATTGGGATGTTTAACATTGGGCGGTTTAACATTGGGCGGTTTAACATTGGGAGGTTTAACATCAGGTTTAACATTGGGAGGTTTAACATAAGGTTTAACATTGAGAGGTTTAACATCAGGAGGTTTAACATCAGGAGGTTTAACATTGGGAGGTTTAACATTGGGCATTTTAACATTGGGGGTTTAACATCAGGGTGTTTTAATATTGGGTGTTTTAGCATCAGGAGGTTTAACATTGGGAGGTTGAACATTGGGCAGTTTTACTACTTAAGTTAAACGTATTTGTAGACTGTCATTTGAGTCAAGGTAAGGTAAAAGGCTACCCAGAGGTAGCAGGTAGACAGTTATGATTGTGATTCTTAGGGTAGCCAGTTCATATCAGGTACACACTGGATCACACTCACCTGCGTCAAAACACACCAAACCTACTGGATCACACTAACACACCAAACCTACTGGATCACACTAACACACTAAACCTACTGGATCACACTAACACACTAAACCTACTGGATCACACTAACACACCAAACCTACTGGATCACACTAACACACCAAACCTACTGGATCACACTAACACACTAAATCTACTGGATCACACTAACACACCAAACCTACTGGATCACACTAACACACCAAACCTACTGGATCACACTAACACACCAAACCTACTGGATCACACTAACACACCAAACCTACTGGATCACACTAACACACCAAACCTACTGGATCACACTAACACACCAAACCTACTGGATCACACTAACACACTAAATCTACTGGATCACACTAACACACCAAACCTACTGGATCACACTAACACACCAAACCTACTGGATCACACTAACACACCAAACCTACTGGATCACACTAACACACCAAACCTACTGGATCACACTAACACACCAAACCTACTGGATCACACTAACACACCAAACCTACTGGATCACACTAACACACTAAATCTACTGGATCACACTAACACACCAAACCTACTGGATCACACTAACACACTAAATCTACTGGATCACACTAACACACCAAACCTACTGGATCACACTAACACACCAAACCTACTGGATCACACTAACACACCAAACCTACTGGATCACACTAACACACCAAACCTACTGGATCACACTAACACACCAAACCTACTGGATCACACTAACACACTAAACCTACTGGATCACACTAACACACCAAACCTACTGGATCACACTAACACACCAAACCTACTGGATCACACTAACACACCAAACCTACTGGATCACACTAACACACCAAACCTACTGGATCACACTAACACACCAAACCTACTGGATCACACTAACACACCAAACCTACTGGATCACACTAACACACCAAACCTACTGGATCACACTAACACACCAAACCTACTGGATCACACTAACACACCAAACCTACTGGATCACACTAACACACCAAACCTACTGGATCACACTAACACACTAAATCTACTGGATCACACTAACACACCAAACCTACTGGATCACACTAACACACCAAACCTACTGGATCACACTAACACACCAAACCTACTGGATCACACTAACACACCAAACCTACTGGATCACACTAACACACCAAACCTACTGGATCACACTAACACACCAAACCTACTGGATCACACTAACACACTAAATCTACTGGATCACACTAACACACCAAACCTACTGGATCACACTAACACACTAAATCTACTGGATCACACTAACACACCAAACCTACTGGATCACACTAACACACCAAACCTACTGGATCACACTAACACACCAAACCTACTGGATCACACTAACACACCAAACCTACTGGATCACACTAACACACCAAACCTACTGGATCACACTAACACACCAAACCTACTGGATCACACTAACACACCAAACCTACTGGATCACACTAACACACCAAACCTACTGGATCACACTAACACACTAAATCTAATGGATCACACTCACCTCTAAGAGAGCCTTTATACTGACTTTTCTGTAAATCAAATCATTTTTTTTCGGAATTGCTCTTACTTTTTTCTGTGCAAAGATAAAATTTCAAAACAAATCTGAAATAATTTCTTTTTTATTTCTAATTAACTCACAGGCTTTAAAATATTTCTTCAACATTTAAATAAGTACTTCATTTTGATCCTTGTAAAATTTTTCAATTAAAACAACTATAACCTAACCAGTAAGTACAATGTAGTCAGACTTACAATACTGAAACAATGTAGCTGAAGCCTACATTAGTTTACTTGCAATGGTTAAGCAATTTAAACTTATATCAAATATAACATAACTGATTAAATTTAGCTACTGTACCTTATTTTGTGGCTGTTTATTTATCATGGCCTTCATTAGCCTTAACTCTTCAATCTCCTTCTGAAACCGCTTATCATTATCCTAAAAAACAAAAACAAACAAAAAGAACATTTAATCAATTACCAACATAATTTTAAATAACAATTATCTTTTGCCTGCTGTTTTTAAGGAGTAGTCCATAACAGACATTAAGCACAATGGTAGGTAAGGAATTGTTTTCATACTTATGTGATGATATGCTATACCAGTGTTAAGTAATAAGTTAAGTATGAGAGGTAACTTTCATATTGCTTTTTTTTTTAAATAAAGATGAAAAACGTTCGGTGAAGTATAGTTAATGTGGGTGGAGCTCATGTTTGCTAGCTACTCGCGCCTGTTTCACGGGGAATGATGGGGACAGCATCCCACCTTGATTAAAACAATTAAAATAAATTAAAATAAATTGAAATACTACGTCACCAGTGAATAGAACTTTGACAATTAAAATTAATTAAAAATATAAATTAAAATAAATTAAAATAAATTAAAATACTATGTCACCAGTTAATAGAACTTTGACAATTAGAATAAACTATGATAAATTTAAACAAATTTAAATAAATTTTAAAAATTAAAATAAATTAGAATAAATTTTAGTAAATTAAAATAAATTAAAACACTACGCCACCAGTGAAAAGAACTTTGATAATTAAAATAAATTAAAATACTACATCACCAGTGTACAGATCCAGCAACATAATGGTACCCACAACATCAGGCTAAGTACAACAACACACAATACAATGTTCGACTTGAAAAATCTGACTGAAATACAAGAATAGAGCTACGCCATTATTTCATAGCATGTTTCATAGAGAGAAAAAAACAACTAACAAGCAGTTTTATATGTTAGTAAATACCTAAATTTCACCACCCTGATATGCACCTCTTTTCCTGACCCATGTGGGTAGGATGGAGGGAGGGAGGGAAGGAGGGAGGGAGGGAAGGAGTGAGGGAGGGATGGAGGGATGGAGGGATGGAGGGAGGGAAGGATGGTGGGAGGGGATGGAGGGAGGGAAGGATGCTGGGAGGGAAGGATGGTGGGAGGGGAGGGAGGGAGGGAAGGAGTGAGGGAGGGATGGAGGGATGGAGGGATGGAGGGAGGGAAGGATGGTGGGAGGGAAGGATGCTGGGAGGGAAGGATGGTGGGAGGGGAGGGAGGGAGGGAAGGATGCTGGGAGGGGAGGGAGGGAGGGAGGGAGGGATGGCGGGAGGCATGGATGGTGGGATGGATGGAGGGAGGGAAGGATGGCGGGAGGCATGGATGGTGGGATGGATGGAGGGAGGGAGGGAAAGATGGAGGAGGGGAGGATGGAGGGATAGAGCACTGCCATTTGTGCAGATATTATACTTAGTACCCAGACAATAGTATACAATGAGGTGCATCAGCACATCCTTCATGCACACATCTGCATGATGCTGTTACTGAAAGAATTCTGTATTACAATAGAACAAAGTGTTGACCTACTAGTTTATGACTAAAAAAAATAGTTTGGTAAACTTCACATTTCCTTGTAGATTCCTACCTCCCAGTTTGAAAACCAGTGTCTAAATAGTTTTTTGGGATCTTCATTAAAAAATATTTTAAAATATTTAAACTGTTATATTCAGACACTCTAATGAGACACAAAAGCAGGGGTTACCTTGCGTGAATTTGATGTGATTAGTGAAAATCGTTTGAATCCATTCTGTAGTAGTTACACTTCTAGGGGCACACAGCCCATCCTGTGAGAGATTACAATAGTTTGTTTAAAATGTATAGAGCTAGCTCTGTACGGCAACTGATTACAACTAGACATGTTCAAACATAAATTGTTTCACTCCCTATAATGTTTAAAAAAAGAACCAATACCCATCTGGGATCATATCTCAGCTCTCAAGGCTAATGTTTTATCAACTAAATTTTCTATTATAATAGAAATGTTACCACAGAACAGTTTTTATGCAGGTATTTGAAAAGACTTTTAGATGTTTAAACAAGACGGTTACTCTCGCACAGGCTACAAGACATGCAAGAAAAAGCTGATGCATTAGGAGCCATCTCTCAGAGCGTAGGTCTCAAGATCAACAAAGAAAAGACAGAAGTGATGAGAATTATCAATAACCAGGAGGCATCATAGTGACAATAGATGGAAGACAGGTAAATGATGTGGAAGAGTTTGTCTACCTTGGCAGCAAGATCAGCAAAACAGGAGGCACAGAGGAGGACATACGTGCTAGAATTAATAGAGCTCGCTGCGCTTTCACAGTTCTACAACCCATATGGAAAAGTTCTGCCATCTCCACATTACCACAAAAATTAGGATATTTAACTCAAATGTCAAGGCAGTTCTGCTGTATGGAGCAGAGACACGGAGAGTCTCCAAGGCAAGCACAGCAAAGATACAGACCTTCAAGAACAGATGCCTTAGACAGATATTGAAACTGGGGTGGGGTCGTAGGCTAATTGTTGGGGTCGTAGGCTAATTTGGGGGTCATAGGCTAATTGGTGAGGTCGTAGGCTATTTGGTGGGGTCGTAGGCTATTTGGTGGGGTCGTAGGCTAATTGGTGGGGTTGTAGGCTAAATGGTGGGGTCACAGACTAATTAATAGGGTCTTAGGTTAATAGGTGGGGGTTGCAGACTAATTAATGTTGTTGTTGGCTAATTGTTTGTGTCATAGACCAGGGGTCTCCAAACTACGGCCCGCGGGCCGGATGCGGCCCGCGAGGTCCTCTTATCCGGCCCGCGGCGATCTTTTTGTCCACAGAAAAAACGTTATTTGGTGATGGCTGAGGAACTTTGCCCAGAAAAATCAGACATTTTTGGAATTAAATGGCCCCCGAACTGAAATTTGATAGTTAATGCGGCCCTCGGACTGAAAAGTTTGGAGACCCCTGTCATAGACTAATAGGTGGCGTTGTATGATATTTCATGGGGTTGAGGGCTAGGGACAAACTCCAGCTTTATGTGATTCTGTTTTTAAAGTAATCACCTCACAGTAGCCCTTGTAACAGGGTAGTCCATCCACTAAAGTTTCACTGGAGTAGGGGGTACATGGTCCAGGCTTCCTGGGATCTGAGTTGTCAAAACAGCACCACTTGCAGGCATTATCTGGAGGAAAAAAATTAAAGGACCACACTGAGCACCATCTAACAACACAGACGAACAGCAACATACAATAACTTATGGGAGGGCATGGTGAAAACTGCTGAACCAAAAGTTGCGAGTTCGAATCTAAGTCCAGCCAGATCTGACTGGTACCTAACTCACGTTAAGGAAAGTAAAGGCTGCTGGGCATAGTGCTAACCACACTATCTCTTCATATGCCGAGGTCAGGAAACATTTGAACTCTACTTCATCTGCCAAATGTATCATTAGGTCTAAAGAGGACTCTTTTTTTATGCAATAACTTGATATATATGTACTGTATAAAGTAACAATACTGTGAGATATCTAATGTAAATATTATCTTTTCCACTGCTATATGACCTGTGTTAGGTGCATCACAATCTTAATTAATAATAGCTGCAGGTATAACGAGGTCTGTGACCACATTGTAATTAATAATAGCTATAGGTATAACAAGGTGTATGACCACAGGAGAAAACACATGACACCTTCTACATAACACTGACAAACCCCTGACAAAAACAACACCATGACACCTTCTACTCAACACTGACCACCCCCTAACACAAACACCAAGATAACACCTTCTACACAACACTGACCACCCCTAACAAAAAACACCATGACACCTTCTACCCAACACTGACCCCCCCCTAACAAAAACACCATGATGACACCTTCTACCCAACACTGACCACCCCCTAACAAAAACAACACCATGACACCTTCTACCTAGCACTGACCACACTGACACACAGGCGTCAATACCCTAAACACACCCATCTGTAAACAACCCCCTCCACAGGATGGAGAGACACAATAAAGACCACTGTCCACTGAGACACAATAAAGACCACTGTCACTGAGACACAATAAAGACCACTGTCCACTGAGACACAATAAAGACGACTGTCTACTGAGACAAAATAAAGACCACTGTCCACTGAGACACAATAAAGACCAGTGTCACTGAGACACAATAAAGACCACTGTCCACTGAGACACAATAAAGACCACTGTCTACTGAGACACAATAAAGACCAGTGTCACTGAGGTACAATAAAGACCACTGTCCACTGAGACACAATAAAGACCACTGTCCACTGAGACACAATAAAGACCAGTGTCACTGAGACACAATAAAGACCAGTGTCACTGAGATACAATAAAGACCAGTGTCACTGAGATACAATAAAGACCACTGTCCACAGACCTTACCTGGAGACCTGCACATACAAGAACTTAGACTCAAATTCTCCTTGACGGCTTTAGTTTGACAGAAATTCAGACACTTGCCTTGATAGCACTGGCCCCTGTAACAAATAAAACTTCCATTAGCCATCTGCCATCTTTCTGTTATTTCTAGGTAACATGACTTACACAAAAGGGACCCAAGCTGAACATTTCTATTACATAAATGTATATGGGATCCTTAACAACTTTATAATTTGGTTATAAATAGAGTGTCTTTTCATTACTTCCACCCCTTCTTCCACTTAAGTGTCAATTTATACTATAGCCACTGCAATTTTGTAGTTAGTAAATACCCCAGGGGACAGCATGGCCAAGAGTTAGAGTGCTAGACTGCTAACCCAAAAGTCGGGAGTTTGAATGTATGTACAAGTCGATAGATTTTCACTGAGTCCACCAAACTACGATAGGCACCTAACTCACATTTCGAGTGGGGCTACCTAAAGGCTACTACTTGTGTCTAGCTAAGGGATGAGTGGGGCTACCTAAAGGCTACTACTTGTGAGTCTGGCTAAGGGATGAGTGGGGCTACCTAAAGGCTACTACTTGTGAGTCTGGCTAAGGGATGAGTGGGGCTACCTAAAGGCTACTACTTGTGAGTCTGGCTAAGGGATGAGTGGGGCTACCTAAAGGCTACTACTTGTGAGTCTGGCTAAGGGATGAGTGGGGCTACCTAAAGGCTACTACTTGTGAGTCTGGCTAAGGGATGAGTGGGGCTACCTAAAGGCTACTACTTGTGAGTCTGGCTAAGGGATGAGTGGGGCTACCTAAAGGCTACTGCTACTCACCCATAATTGCAAGGGGTCCAGTCTGGCAGATTTTCGGGTTCTTGGCACATATACCCATTGCCTCTAGAAGTTATGTAAGGTTTAAACAACTAGACTCCACAACACATACCCTTTTCCACTAGACTATGTAAGGTTTAAACAACTAGACTCCACAACACATACCCTTTTCCACTAGTAAGGTAAATAACCATTATTACATTAGAAGACTTTTATACAAGGTGCACTATATCTATTCATCAATAATAAACATCTACAAATCCATTACATTATGTTCTAAATCTGGACACATAACAAGCCAAAACATGATTAATTTTTGGGTTATTAGTTTGTTAAATTGTTAATTTTTTTTTAAATTGTACTTTCTTAACTTTTTTTTTTTTACAAAAATTTTTTTTTTAAATATTTGCAATATTATGTAGACATATGCAAATTTATGTTAGTAATATTTTCTAAAAAAATAATCAAATATATTAGAATTTATTTCTGTTTATTCAAAGATACGAGCAGTAATTCAGCTTTTTGCAGTCGATTCCATGGGAGTCAAAACATGTCATACTTCGTGGTGCCATTTTACAGTTGGCGCAGCACACAGTGTTCATGTCACTGTAACACAAAATATAACCAGTCATGTGACTTAAGCACAAAATATAACCAGTCATGTGACTTAAGCACAAAATATAACCAGTCATGTGACTTAAGCAAAAAATATAGCCAGTCATGTGACTTAAACACAAAATATAACCAGTCATGTGACTTAAGCACAAAATATAACCAGTCATGTGACTTAATCACAAAATATAACCAGTCAAATCACTGAATCACAAAATATAACCAGTCAAATCACTGAATCACAAAATATAACCAGTCAAATCACTGAATCACAAAATATAACCAGCCAAATCACTGAATCACAAAATATAACCAGCCATGTCACTGAAACACAAAATATAACCAGTCATGTGACTTAATCACAAAATATAACCAGTCAAATCACTGAATCACAAAATATAACCAGTCAAATCACTGAATCACAAAATATAACCAGCCAAATCACTGAAACACAAAATATAACCAGCCATGTCACTGAAACACAAAATATAACCAGCCATGTCACTGAAACACAAAATATAACCAGTCAAATCATGGAAACACAAATTATAACCAGCCATGTCACTGAAACACAAAATATAACCAGTCAAATCACTGAAACACAAATTATAACCAGCCATGTCACTGAAACACAAAATATAACCAGTCAAATCACTGAAACACAAAATATAACCAGTCATGTCACTGAAACACAAAATATAACCAGCCATGTCACTGAAACACAAAATATAACCAGCCATGTCACTGAAACACAAAATATAACCAGCACTGTCACTGAAACACAAATTATAACCAGCCATGTGACTTAAACACAAAATATAACCAGTCAAATCACTGAAACACAAAATATAACCAGCCATGTCACTGAAACACAAAATATAACCAGTCATGTGACTTAATCACAAAATATAACCAGTCAAATCACTGAAACACAAAATATAACCAGCACTGTTAGGGAAACACAAAATATAACCAGCACTGTTAGGGAAACACAAAATATAACCAGCCATGTCACTGAAACACAAAATATAACCAGCCATGTCACTGAATCACAAAATATAACCAGCACTGTTAGGGAAACAAAATATAACCAGCACTGTTAGGGAAACAAAATATAACCAGCACTGTTAGGGAAACAAAATATAACCAGCACTGTTAGGGAAACAAAATATAACCAGCACTGTTAGGGAAACACAAAATATAACCAGCACTGTTAGGGAAACACAAAATATAACCAGCCCTGTCACTGAAACACAAAATATAACCAGCACTGTTAGGGAAACACAAAATATAACCAGCCATGTCACTGAATCACAAAATATAACCAGCACTGTTAGGGAAACACAAAATATAACCAGCCCTGTCACTGAAACACAAAATATAACCAGCAATGTTAGGGAAACAAAATATAACCAGCACTGTTAGGGAAACAAAATATAACCAGCCATGTCACTGAAACACAAAATATAACCAGCCATGTCACTGAATCACAAAATATAACCAGCCATGTCACTGAAACACAAAATATAACCAGCCATGTCACTGAATCACAAAATATAACCAGCACTGTTAGGGAAACACAAAATATAACCAGCACTGTTAGGGAAACACAAAATATAACCAGCACTGTTAGGGAAACACAAAATATAACCAGCCATGTCACTGAAACACAAAATATAACCAGCACTGTTAGGGAAACACAAAATATAACCAGCACTGTTAGGGAAACAAAATATAACCAGCACTGTTAGGGAAACACAAAATATAACCAGCACTGTTAGGGAAACACAAAATATAACCAGCCATGTCACTGAATCACAAAATATAACCAGCCCTGTTAGTGAATCACAAAATATAACCAGCCCTGTTAGGGAAACACAAAATATAACCAGCCCTGTCACTGAAACACAAAATATAACCAGCACTGTTAGGGAAACACAAAATATAACCAGCCATGTCACTGAATCACAAAATATAACCAGCACTGTTAGGGAAACACAAAATATAACCAGCCATGTCACTGAAACACAAAATATAACCAGCCCTGTCACTGAATCACAAAATATAACCAGCAATGTTAGGGAAACAAAATAAAGCCTACCATATCACTGAAACAACATTTACCCAATCATGTCCTGACTGACTAGACATTCAACTAACACAAAACCACTGACCACTCACACTGAATACCACAAGGCAAACATGTGACAGCTCACCTACAAACAGCAAAGTCCTTGAACCAGCACTGTTTATCACAGCATGGATCAGCATTGATGAGCCCTACGGCCCCGGCATCACAATCTTCACCCTCTTCCACTATTCCATTCCCACATAGACTGGGTTTTGCTGTTTTGCCTACATAAAAAAACATTATAATAAATATTTATTCTACCCACAAGTTCAGCATTGAATGGAGTGGTATATAGGCCCATTTCATACAGGCAAAAATTATAATATATATATTTTTTCAACTAAGAAGTTCAGCATTGACTGGGGTGGTAAGTAGGCTGTTTTCAACATATTAAAGATTATTATATATATATATATATATATATATATATATATATATATATATATATATATATATATATATATATATATATATATATATATATATATATATATACATATAAATATATACATATACATATAAATATATATATACATATAAATATATATATATACATATATTCATTTATATACATATATACATATATACATATATATATATATATATATATATATATATATATATATATATATATATATATATATATATATATATATATATATATATATATATATAATATAATATATAATATATATATATATATATATATATATATATATATATATATATATATATATATATATATATATATATATATATATATATATATATATATATATATATATATTTATATATATTCAACCCACAAGTTCAGCAACTATTAGCATACATATATTTTCACACACATTTTCACATTTTCATCATTGCTAGTAGCATTGAGATATTGTTTCTGAATGACTAAAAAAAAACTTCAAATCAGTTGATTTTGTTATGCTACTCAATGAGTCTTAAAAAGGCCTCTCACACCCAAATCAACATTAATATTATTTTTATGTTGACTCTTTTGTAAGAAGTTTAAGAAATGTATATCACATTACTGGACTTAATATAATTGTATAGCCTTTACTGAAGTGTACACTGGTTTAGCATTTATATTTGTAACATGAATATTGAAATAGTCTTCCTTCAATTGACATTCAACAATGATGTGAGAAAAAAAGTTGAATAAAGTTAAGTGTTAAAACTTACTGACAAAACACCATCCATATCCCATTTCTAAATGTCTTCCAATGGCTTTTAAAGTGCAAGGTGAGAAAATCTAAAGGTAAAGGTTTGATACCAGTCAGTCATCACTACATAGTTATGTTGGTTTCTACATATTTGCTAAACGGTCAAGTGACTTACTCAACATTATAAAGAATTGATATGATACCACAATATTAGGTAGTCATAATAACCATCAACAGCTAACCCTAACCCCATATTAATCAGATACACACAATATTTCTGGAATGTAGGCCATCAACAGCTAACCCTAACCCCCACTAATCTCTGACACTCACAAAATTGTTTGGATGTAGGCCATCAACAGCTAACCCTAACCCCCACTAATCTCTAACACTCACAAAATTGTTTGGATGTAGGCCATCAACAGCTAACCCTAACCCTAACCCCCACTAATCTCTGACACTCACAAAATTGTTTGGATGTAGGCCATCAACAGCTAACCCTAACCCTAACCCCCACTAATCTCTGACACTCACAAAATTGTTTGGATGTAGGCCATCAACAGCTAACCCTAACCTAATCTCTGACACTCACAAAATTGTTTGGATGTAGGACATCAACAGCTAACCCTAACCCTAACCCCCACTAATCTCTGACACTCACAAAATTGTTTGGATGTAGGCCATCAACAGCTAACCCTAACCTAATCTCTGACACTCACAAAATTGTTTGGATGTAGGCCATCAACAGCTAACCCTAACCCTCACTAATCTCTAACACTCACAAAATTGTTTGGATGTAGGCCATCAACAGCTAACCCTAACCTAATCTCTAACACTCACAAAATTGTTTGGATGAAGGCCATCGACAGCTAACCCTAACCCCCACTAATCTCTGACACTCACAAAATTGTTTGGATGTAGGCCATCGACAGCTAACCCTAACCCTAACCCCCACTAATCTCTGACACTCACAAAATTGTTTGGATGTAGGCCATCAACAGCTAACCCTAACCTAATCTCTAACACTCACAAAATTGTTTGGATGTAGGCCATCAACAGCTAACCCTAACCCCCCACTAATCTCTGACACTCACAAAATTGTTTGAATGTAGGCCATCGACAGCTAACCCTAACCTAATCTCTAACACTCACAAAATTGTTTGGATGTAGGCCATCAACAGCTAACCCTAACCCCCCACTAATCTCTAACACTCACATGATTGTTTGGATGTAGGCCATCAACAGCTAACCCTAACCCTAACCCCCACTAATCTCTGACACTCACAAAATTGTTTGAATACAGGCCATCAACAGCTAACCCTAACCTAATCTCTAACACTCACAAAATTGTTTGGATGTAGGCCATCAACAGCTAACCCTAACCCCCACTAATCTCTAACACTCACAAAATTGTTTGGATGTAGGCCATCAACAGCTAACCCTAACCCCCACTAATCTCTAACACTCACAAAATTGTTTGGATGTAGGCCATCAACAGCTAACCCTAACCTAATCTCTAACACTCACAAAATTGTTTGGATGTAGGCCATCAACAGCTAACCCTAACCCCCACTAATCTCTAACACTCACAAAATTGTTTGGATGTAGGCCATCAACAGCTAACCCTAACCCTAACCCCCACTAATCTCTGACACTCACAAAATTGTTTGGATGTAGGCCATCAACAGCTAACCCTAACCTAATCTCTGACACTCACAAAATTGTTTGGATGTAGGCCATCAACAGCTAACCCTAACCTAATCTCTAACACTCACAAAATTGTTTGGATGAAGGCCATCGACAGCTAACCCTAACCCCCACTAATCTCTGACACTCACAAAATTGTTTGGATGTAGGCCATCGACAGCTAACCCTAACCCTAACCCCCACTAATCTCTGACACTCACAAAATTGTTTGGATGTAGGCCATCAACAGCTAACCCTAACCTAATCTCTAACACTCACAAAATTGTTTGGATGTAGGCCATCAACAGCTAACCCTAACCTAATCTCTAACACTCACAAAATTGTTTGGATGTAGGCCATCAACAGCTAACCCTAACCCCCACTAATCTCTGACACTCACAAAATTGTTTGAATGTAGGCCATCAACAGCTAACCCTAACCCTAACCCCCACTAATCTCTGACACTCACAAAATTGTTTGAATACAGGCCATCAACAGCTAACCCTAACCTAATCTCTAACACTCACAAAATTGTTTGGATGTAGGCCATCAACAGCTAACCCTAACCCTAACCCCCCACTAATCTCTGACACTCACAAAATTGTTTGAATACAGGCCATCAACAGCTAACCCTAACCTAATCTCTAACACTCACAAAATTGTTTGGATGTAGGCCATCAACAGCTAACCCTAACCCTAACCCCCCACTAATCTCTGACACTCACAAAATTGTTTGGATGTAGGCCATCAACAGCTAACCCTAACCTAATCTCTAACACTCACAAAATTGTTTGGATGTAGGCCATCAACAGCTAACCCTAACCCCCACTAATCTCTGATACTCACAAAATTGTTTGGATGTAGGCCATCGACAGCTAACCCTAACCCCCACTAATCTCTGACACTCACAAAATTGTTTGGATGTAGGCCATCAACAGCTAACCCTAACCTAATCTCTAACACTCACAAAATTGTTTGGATGAAGGCCATCAACAGCTAACCCTAACCCTAACCCCCACTAATCTCTGACACTCACAAAATTGTTTGGATGTAGGCCATCAACAGCTAACCCTAACCCCCACTAATCTCTAACACTCACAAAATTGTTTGGATGTAGGCCATCAACAGCTAACCCTAACCCCCCACTAATCTCTAACACTCACAAAATTGTTTGGATGTAGGCCATCAACAGCTAACCCTAACCCCCCACTAATCTCTAACACTCACAAAATTGTTTGGATGTAGGCCATCAACAGCTAACCCTAACCCTAACCCCCACTAATCTCTGACACTCACAAAATTGTTTGGATGTAGGCCATCAACAGCTAACCCTAACCCCCACTAATCTCTGACACTCACAAAATTGTTTGGATGTAGGCCATCAACAGCTAACCCTAACCCCCACTAATCTCTAACACTCACAAAATTGTTTGGATGTAGGCCATCAACAGCTAACCCTAACCCTAACCCCCACTAATCTCTGACACTCACAAAATTGTTTGGATGTAGGCCATCAACAGCTAACCCTAACCCCCACTAATCTCTGACACTCACAAAATTGTTTGGATGAAGGCCATCAACAGCTAACCCTAACCCTAACCCCCACTAATCTCTGACACTCACAAAATTGTTTGGATGTAGGCCATCAACAGCTAACCCTAACCCCCACTAATCTCTGACACTCACAAAATTGTTTGGATGTAGGCCATCAACAGCTAACCCTAACCTAATCTCTAACACTCACAAAATTGTTTGAATACAGGCCATCAACAGCTAACCCTAACCCTAACCCCCACTAATCTCTGACACTCACAAAATTGTTTGGATGTAGGCCATTAACAGCTAACCCTAACCCTAACCCCCACTAATCTCTGACACTCACATGATTGTTTGGATGTAGGACATCAACAGCTAACCCTAACCTAATCTCTAACACTCACAAAATTGTTTGAATACAGGCCATCAACAGCTAACCCTAACCCTAACCCCCACTAATCTCTGACACTCACAAAATTGTTTGGATGTAGGCCATTAACAGCTAACCCTAACCCTAACCCCCACTAATCTCTGACACTCACATGATTGTTTGAATGAAGGCCATCAACAGCTCTATCCCACATGATAAAGTTACCCCCTGCCTCTTCCTGTTGAGAACACGAAGCTGTAGCAGGGTCATGCCGGCTTCCGAAGTTATGGCCTGAAATATGGTTAACTTATTTGTAAAGAAACAATGATTAGAAAACAGTTTTTTTAAATCAAACATTAATTCACATAATACGTAATATTCAGATTATTAAATTATTTAATTAAATAGGAAGAAATTTTTAGATTATTGTTTTCAAGATTTGATATGAACTTAAGTTTTAGTTTAAACTTTTTATAAAAGATGTCTAAGCTGAAATCAGTAGCCTATTTGAAACAAACTAATTCTCAAATGTGACAATACCTTTATAATTTTAAAAACTAAAAATAGTTAACTAAAAAATGCATCAATATGTCAGGCGTTATGCTGTAGAATCAGAATATTTAATCCATACCTTGCTGTTGTTTACAAAATAGTGCTACTTAATCTGTTATCATCATTTACCATTATTTAGATTCCAACGTTATTGATGTAATAAAATGTTCCATACCTAATTCTGGATAGAAGAAATAGACTACATGTAATACATTTTAAATGCATTTTTAATAATGAATTATAATTGAACTGTAACTCAGGACATGGTTGTTTCCAATGGTTGAATGAGTCATTTGCTTATCACAGGCAATGGGGAGGGGGGGTATCACAGGCAATGGGGGGGGAGGGTATCACAGGCAATGTGGGGGGGGGGGGGGGGTATTACAGGCAATAGTGGGGGGGGGGGGTATCACAGGCAATAGTGGGGGGGGGGATGATAAAAGTTGACGTGTGGGCAAAGAATGGGCAGGTAGGAATTCAGATCAGAATGGATGTCTACACAATAAACTATCAAGGTGCTTATAGGTTTGTGAAGGAAAAAATGCAGACAAATATAATGTTTTTTAAGGTATTAAAAGAAATTCATACAGACACATGTATTAAGTTTTTTAAAGGTATTTAAAGAAAATCATGCACACATATACAAAGTTTTTAAAGGTATTAAAAGAAATTCATTCAGACACATGTATTAAGTTTTTTAAAGGTATTTAAAGAAAATCATGCAGACAAATATGTTTTTAAAGGTATTAAAAGAAATTCATTCAGACAAATATAATGTTTTTAAAGTGTTTAAAAGAAAATCATTCAGAAATATGTATTAAGTTTTTAAATGTATTTAAAGAAAATCATGCAGACAAAATTAACGTTTTTTAAAGGTATAAAAAGAAATTTATTCAGACAAATATAATGCTTTTTAAATGTATTTAAAGAAAATCATGCAGACGATCGTATAAAGATTTTTTACACCTGGCAGAATAGTTTAAGAAGGTGTGCTCTTACAGGTGATAGTCAATATGCAAGAGCACACATTTCAAACACTTAAAAAAAAATAGATCACAGTTCTAGTTCTACTTACCATGGGTTATGACAATCATAAACTGAAGTGTTGTGACGGGTCCAGTCAGTATCTCTGTGCTTGACGATAGGGCAATATTCCGATTGGGTTGGTTACTTCTTGTAACTGAAATCAGACACCTTCATCATAAGCTCAGTCAACAATAAGTGTGAACTGATTACACTGACATTACTAAAGCAGCTTTCAAAATACACTTTTAAAAAAACATTTAACTTGGACCTACTACAATAGTGAACAGGAATACAACAGTAAAGCCTTAAAATCTATTTCAAGCAAAGGACATTAGCTCAAGAAAGGACTTACAATCACACACTTGACCAACTTGCGCTAGTCCCAAGACCCTGTCTGGCATTGGATAAGATGTAAGCAGGTGGTTCAGACAAAAGTCCACTCCTAATTGACTCATGAAGTAGCCAAAAGACTAGAGATTGTTCGGTACAAGCCAGTATTATTTTAAACATCTCTACATAAATGGAGGGATCATTATCATTAATATACACACAAAAAACTGCTAGCACCCATGTACAACTAATTTCTTGCACCTAGCACCAATGAACAACAAACTGCTATACCCAAGCACCAATGTACAACAAACTGCTAGCACCCATGTACAACAAACTACTACAACCCATGTACAACAAACTGCTATAACCTAGCCTCCATGAACAACAAACTGCTAGCACCAATGTACAACAAACTGCTATAAGTTATTTTTAAATAGATTATGTTCCCTGATAAATGTTTATACCCTTTAGTGTAAATGTGGTTGTGCCACTTATAACAAAATCTTCATACTGTAAACTAAACTAGCGACATAGAAAAAAATACCTGGAGTTTTTTACTAGCATCCCAGGTGACATCCTTGGCATTAAAGTGATCAAACGTTTTATCAGATGTCACGGTTGGGGTTGTATACAGTACCAGCTGTTGAGAGAGAGAGTTTGTTGTGAGTCTCATTAAATGAAAACATTAGAATCTTGACAAATAGGAAAAAAATATCCCAAAAATATATCCGTCTTTTTTCCCTTTCCTTCCTTACCTCATAAGACCTTCATTAAAGCTCTTTATAAACTCAACTTCCACTAATTTTTTCTATGCCATCCATTGTAAAATTTAAACACATTAGTCACCATTAGTCACTCAGCTATTCCTGTGTTGGTCCTCCATCTACTTAGGTATATTTTTTGTATTTGTCCCCTATCTATTCAGGCATTTCCCCCCCCCCCCATCTACTTAGGTATAGATACCCCATATTTTATGTATTTGTCCCCTATCTATTCAGGCATTCCCCCCCCCATCTACTTAGGTATAGATACCCCACCTTTTTTTGTATTTGTCCCCTATCTATTCTGGTCTTTAAATAAAATAAAGATTCCCACATGGGCTAATCATTTCAAAAACCCTACTGGAAAAAAAAAAGAAATCTTACTCTTTTCAATCGGAATCCTATATCTTTATATAAATTGTGTGAACTGCCTTCAAATGTAGAGCCTCTAAATATTGTGTCAACACTTTCTGTTAGATGAATCTAAGGAGAAACGCTTTGTAAAAACCATGTAAATAGAAAAAAACAGAAAATAGATTTTTTTAACATTGTGTATCAAATGCTATTTAGCTCAGCTATAATTTAGTTGCATGTCAAATCACGAGCCCTCCGTGTTGGGAGGGCTAATATATTTTTGTTGTTGTTTTGAATGTACTGGGTCAGCTGACCCAGTACATTCAAAACAACAGCAAAAACTTTTCCAGGGGTCAGTTAGCAAAAACTTTTCCAGGGGTCAGTTAGCAAAAATTTTTCCAGGGGTCAGTTAACAAAAACTTTAACAGGGGTCAGTTAGAAAAACTTTTCCAGGGGTCAGTTAGCAAAAACTTTTCCAGGGGTCAGTTAGCAAAAACTTTTCCAGGGGTCAGTTAGCAAAAACTTTTCCAGGGGTCAGTTAGAAAAACTTTTCCAGGGGTCAGTTAGCAAAAACTTTTCCAGGGGTCAGTTAGCAAAAACTTTTCCAGGGGTCAGTTAGCAAAAACTTTTCCAGGGGTCAGTTAGCAAAAACTTTCCTGGGGGTCAGTTAGCAAAAACTTTTCCAGGGGTCAGTTAGCAAAAACTTTTCCAGGGGTCAGTTAGCAAAAACTTTTCCAGGGGTCAGTTAGCAAAAACTTTTCCAGGGGTCAGTTAGCAAAAACTTTTCCAGGGGTCAGTTAGCAAAAACTTTTCCAGGGGTCAGTTAGCAAAAACTTTTCCAGGGGTCAGTTAGCAAAAACTTTTCCAGGTTTGAGGACACGGGTAAAAGTAGGCCTAAAAATTTCTATTTTGCTCAATACAAATATGCCTGATAGAAACACTGAACCCCACTTATAAATTAAGCTATCATTTTCATTAAACACAGCCTTCAATTTATCTCTTGACTAACATTAAGCTCCCAATTTAAACTCCTGTCTCGCATAAAGCTCCTTATGAATATTAGTCCATTTTCCTTCATCAAGCTATTATTTCCCAATTAAGATACAGTCAAATTGCTAACATTAAGTAAGCTTTTGTCATTTAGCTCATGCTAACATTAAGCTTTTGCCATTTAGCTGATGCTAACATTAAGCTTTTGTCATTTAGCTCAAGCAAACATTAAGCTTTTGCCATTTAGCTCAAGCAAACATTAAGCTTTTGTCATTTAGCTCATGCTAACATTAAGCTTTTGCCATTTAGCTGATGCTAACATTAAGCTTTTGCCATTTAGCTCATGCAAACATTAAGCTGCCAAACAGCCTTAAGCTCCTTCAGTAGTGGTCAGCCGTGGGACATTTTTGTATCTTTTTGTCTCATCTACAAGTAAATATTTTGTATCATTTTGTCTCATCTACAAGTAAATATTTTGTATCATTTTGTCTCATCTACAAGTAAATATTTTGCATCATTTTGTCTCATCTACAAGTAAATATTTTGTATCATTTTGTCTCATCTACAAGTAAATATTTTGTATCATTTTGTCTCATCTACAAGTAAATATTTTGCATCTTTTTGTCTTATCTGCAAGTAAATATTATGTATCTTTTTTTCTCATCTACAAGAAAATATTTTGTATCTAGTTTGATGGAAACTATATTGTCATGGGTCGTTTAGTTGGTAGCTAAGTTATTTTATTTTATCTGGAGTCTTTTATGGAAGCTCATTTGTCTGAAGCTGAAAAAAGCTCTATTTAATTCCTGGATGAACCAATATAAATGAGTTTAAAAAAAACAGTTTTAAAGTAAATGAAAAGTTTCAATGTATGTCCACTTACTATGATAGAAGTACATGTAACAGGCTGTTGATTACATCGATTTTTGAAAAAGCTGAAGTCAGCCACAATGTTCAATTGACAAGAATCTCCAGCTGTTTCTCTTTTCAATCTTGTTTGATTACCTGATGGAGCATGAAAAGGCAGAGAAAAATCAACAATGAAGAAATGCGCAACAGAAACCTGTGTAGAATTCATTTTTTATCTATCATTTAAAGACGTGCAAAGAATGACCACATGTATACTGTAGCATTATAAAAAACATTTTTCCACGATATATGACCAAAGTGTATTAGCATAATGAGTGTATTTGCATAATTTTCTCTTTGCACTATTTTCAGTTATGTATCTTTCTGGGAATCTTTTTAATGTAGTGGTAAAATCTGTTAAAACAGCAAGACATTATTTAGGCAATGACAACTTGGTTCAAAGGTCAAATGGGCTTCTGCAATCAGTAGGAGCTTCATACAGGTCACATCTTGGGGAGATGCTTTAGTAGGCCACTGCCCGCCCCTTTTTGGTTTTTGGTTGCAAATTAAATAAGTATTTGAACCAGCCTAACTATGCTCTCCATAAAATATTTTTATGTAACTGTGTGATTTAAAAAAAAAAAATATTTTAAAATAAAACAAAATTAACTAACCGCCTTTTACGGAAGACTGTGATTCAGGATTTAAGTGTGGATCATCCTCTGTGTTTTCCACTCCACTAGATTATTATTTCAAAAATATGTCATCACTTAGATAAATTGTTCAACCTTACAAAAATCTTATTCCAACTAATACAATATTATTGTGAGTAAAAGATGCTAAAATTCTAAAGCCTAAAGGCCTACTACTGAATTTGCTAATTAAAGAAAAGGTAATTACAAATCTACCATTGTCCTGCATTAAACTCTAGATCAGATCTTCTATACACCATGTAGGAGTTATTGTAGGGATTCTCAGTGGCATTGAGCAAGTACCAGGCTGGCTGAGAAAAAAAATGTTTGAACTGTTAGAATAATAAACATCATCGTGTTTTTATTAGAGGCACTTGCTGTACTAAGAACATAGCAGGTAAGATAACTAAAGTGATGTTGTGATCTTATCAGTAAATGTATCTAAATGTGTTAATGTTAGTATGTTTAGTTTTAAAAGAAATGCTAATCCATTATTTCTTTGTGTAGGTACGATATATAGGACAATAAGCTTACCTCGATAGTGTAGGTATCATTTTTCAAAAAAATATTTATTGACCATAAGGTTTCTTCAGTATGTGCGTTAACTTTAACACTAGGATCATCTGGAATATTTTTTGTGGGTAATACAATTATAAACTATATAAAGTTAAGTTTCCCTTTTAAACCTAACAATCCATAGTGCAGATAAAGTAGAGTTTATCTCAACAAATGAAAGGATGGATGTGGCCAGCACTTGAATATGCCCAGCCACCTTGACTTTTCCTAACCTGAGTCTACCCATCAGAGCTGGGTGGATTCAGGGAAGTCTTACAGTTACAATTCTGGACAAAGATCTGAACTCTCTGGCAACCAGTTGAGTGCTCTACCACTCAACCATACATAATAAACCAGTACACAACACTGCAGTGTATGTTTGTTTGTTTTTTAAATTAAAAATTTAAAAAATTTCATCCTCATTTTTTAATTAATTTATTTCAATAATGCATTTACATATTTTTAATCAACTAACCTGTCAGGTGACCTGAGTAAATTTGGCTCTGATCAACATCAAAGGAGCTGGCGGACATTTCCCCAGAGAACAAAACAGCCTCGAAATCCTTAGATAATACATTTGTGCCAGATTTTAGCGACAAATGAAAAGCCCTGAAAGCAGTTATCATGTGCTTAACAAATTAATTAGATTGGAGAAGATGAAGTTAAGTGTTTTCAGTGTTTAGAAATTAACAAAAAAACACATAAATTTAACTATGCACATACATATATTTAGAGCTAAAAAAATATTTAATAAATCCTATATAATAATTGGCTTTTTACGACAGTCTGTAACACAAAAGTATTTCTACTAGCTTTCAGGTTAGAACTATAACATTTCCATGATACAAATAAGCCTATCTATTAAAATTTTTACAATTTTAGATTTAAAATTTATTTTTTTACATTTTGGGAAATAGGTAGATTATTATGGTATTAAATAATTTTTCTTAAAATAGCACAATTATTGTAGGCCTACATTTCCTGGGATTTAATATAATATAAATATAACAAAAATTACATAGATTAAAGGGAAATAACTCCCATAATGAGTTAATTTTTTTTTCTTATTTTTTTAATCCTTAAAAAAATTATTAATTCTCAAAATACCCACAATGATACCAATTTGCAGAAGGTGAAGTAAATTTTAAGAAATCTAGATCTTTTTATTCTTCGTTCTTAATTTTTAGTGTTGGAAGGGATCGAGCCTTATCTTTAACAACCATGAGCTTTGCCAACTCGACCACGCCGCCCCCTAGAAATCTAGATAATTTATAAGTATACCTGTCAACTGATTATGCTCCATTGAGGCCATTGACTCTCATTTTAGCCTGCTTTTCTATTTGGATTTGCTTCCATAGCCTTTGTTCAACCAAGAACAAATTACAGCTACAAGGCAGCAGTTGTTGGATTACTGACTCAACCACGCAGCCCCCTAGAAATCTAGATAATTTATAAGATTAACTTAATACAGAGTAGGCATACCTTCCAAAAGCTTGAAATTTTAAGTTTTTTCTCCTTTCATAGCTGCGAGCAGTCCTCACAACTTTAGATGACACGCTAAGTTGACTGAACGTCTCAAAATATTTCAGATTTGCAACACACAATACTGGGAAACAATTCCAAAGCACAAAGCATTACACTAGAGTTTGTCAAAGTGATACATAATAAAGGTCATAATGCCCTGTACCAAATCAGTTGAAAAATTAGTTAATAATATAGGCCCCTAGGCCTATAAAATAGATTTTAAAACCATAAGCATCATAGATCTACCATTTTACCAACACCCACTATGCATTCTTGGTGGAAAGCTATGTTTTAAATATTTAAATCATTTAAGATTGATTTTTTTTAAAACCATTAATATATCAATAAAAATATCAGAAGCAAAAAGTGATAGATAGATCTAGATATATATAACAACTGTGAACGTTCTTAGTAGACTTAGCTAGAGTCAGCTCGACCATGATATTCTAGATCAAACATAGACAGAATCCTCTAATTGTTAGATCTAGATCTAGTGACATTCTATTCTAGTCTAGTTAACAGTGGACTGTATCAGTGTGCGTTACAAACAATCCAGTGTTATGTTAACTAATAGTAAATAGATCTAGTTACTAAATAGGCTACTAATACTACCTAATATTAGATCTAGATCTATCTAATATTATATTCTAATAGTCACCATTTAATAAATTATATATCTAGATCTAGATTAGTACTTTTTAGTAGAGACCAAAAAAATTAATTTTATTCCGCTCGATCTTGAAGTGATGCTCATTTAAAATATTTTAGAAATTATTTTTTATTTATTATATTTATCCTAGAATCTAGCTCTTGACTAGAGTCTAGATCTAGAATCTAAAATAAAAATTCTAGATCTAAATTCTAAATCCATCTTTAAATTTAATAATTTAATAAATTAATTATTTAGCCTACTAATTTAGTAATTAGTGAGTAATAGGCCTACCCTACTATTACTTTACTACTATTATTACTAATTTACTACTGTTAGTGTTACTGTTACTGTTACTAGATCATTCTAGACTCTAACTACTAGTCTAGAATCTAGATCTAGACTCTAATAATTTTTAGATCTAGATTCCTAATATTTTTTTAATAAAGTAAAGAATTTTCAATTATAGATTTTAGATTTTAAAAATTTACCTAAATCAATAGATACAACAAAACAAAGAACTGTCTTAAAAAGAAACATTTAAATCGTAATTGAATTATTGAATCACATCTAGATTCTAGATCTAGATCTAGTGCTAATCTTGATTCTAGATCTAGAATCTAGTCTAATCTAGATTCTAGTAAAAATCTAGAAATCTAGATTCTATGTTTTTCAAACAAGTCTACGAAAATGAAAACGGAAATAGGCTCGCTTAAATGGCATTTTATGTCATAATATTTAGCAAAATACTTTCAAAACAATTTCCCTAATCAAACGTAGGCTGAGCAGTCTAAAATTTTAAATGTATACTTTCTGCTCTAAATATTGATATTATCATAATATGGAAAAAGATCCTTTTCCATACATTGTTTTTAAAACCAATAATTTTAAAGCTAAATTTTTAATCAACGCCTTCATCACATCCAACTTGGCCGATCATAGAATATTATATTGCACACTGGGATTTAGATATTAGACCAATGTTTTTTCTGCCTTTTATAATAAAACTTTACCAGGATGTTGATCATAAATATTTGTTTGCTGAAAAGCAATAATCTATGAGATTTGAAGCATATATGCATATATATATATATATATATATATATATATATATATATATATATATATATATATATATATATATATATATATATATATATATATATATATTTATATATATATATATATATATATATATATATATATATATATATATATATATATATATATATATATATATATATATATATATATATATATATTCATATATATATATATATATATATATATATATATATATATATATATATATATATATATATAAAGTGGCGTAGCGAGGTCGGGTGTCACCCGGTGCGGCACTTAATGGTGTCACCCCTCAGTAGCGACCCCCCCTCAATCTTTCGATTAGCACCCCCCCCCCCTCAAACTTTCGATTTGCACCCCTCCCTCAAACAAACGATTTGCACAACCCCCCCCCCCCCTCAAATTTTTCTCTATATATTTTGCTATTTTTTGCATTGGTGTCACCCCCCCCCCCTAAATGGTGTCACCCGGTGCGGTCCGCTACGCCTCTGTATATATATATATATATATATATATATATATATATATATATATATATATATATATATATATATATATATATATATTAAACAATACCCCAACTCAACCCTCCATAAATGCTGATAGTTATTAGTATCAAATAGCTTCCGGAACCACACCAAATTGAATTGTGATGTCTGCCAGCCATACCCTAAATGTTTTGAATTAGTGCTACTACAAACTTATTTATTTATATTAAATTATATTTCCATTTCTCATTGTTTTTAGAATTTGTGTCTCATCAAGGGAGATAATTTTTACGTTCTCCTATAAAGAGTAGGCTGTAACGTATTGGAACCTGAGCACAATAACTAAATGTGATTTTAACAGTTTTTGTTGTTTTACACATTCCCTTTTATCGTATACCGAAGGTAAAGAAAACACCTATAAATTAAGTGGGCTACCATTAGGTGGTCGAGATTTCATATATTGAACTATTTCCGGTAACCGGAAGTGGTACTTTACTCGATTTCCATTGGTACACAATAACTTGAATACAGTTTGTTAGGTAAACGAAGTTTCATATATATAGAGGCGTAGCTAGGGGAGGGCGGGTGGGGTGGCCGCCCGGGCACCGACCTTAAGGGGGCGCCAAAAGGGGTAGAGAAATTAATTTGAAAGCTCATTTTAAGCTGCAGTATCGAATAATACACTGTCAAAGCTATGAAAAAAATAAATGACTACAAGGCTTCACACACTGATTTAACGATTTTGCGACACCGAAATAGAAACTGTTACAGGATAGCAACTGGTAAGAAGCGCCACAAACCTTTCCAACTGGGGGGGGGGGGGGGGGTCGCTTTTTCACAGACAGGAATAACTACATATAGAAATAGGGGGTGGGGTCACAAAATTGATAGTCAGCCCGGGCGCCGGATTAGGTCGCCACGTTACTGCATATATAAGCTCTTTTTCTTGGATTACTCTTAAATTGTGAGTGATCCCTGATATCCATAAGTGTTACGTTGCTGTATTTTAGATGGCTTTAATTCAGATAACATAAGTACTGTTTCAGTTAGGTAGAGGAAATTTTATACATAGGTATAAGTATAAGGTCTTATTGTCTTGATTCTTTCAACATTTGAGTGATTTCCGATGACCGAAAGTAGTTCTTTACGGTATTTCCAATCTCTCAGAAAATATTACAGAAAATGCACTGTGACATAAAATGTGACTTTATTATTAACCTAGATGCTAAACTTTAAAAGTTTATCAATGTTCCGTTATAGAATACTAACTTTCCGCTCAATTATGCAGACATCATTCAGTGCGAAATTCTTTTTTTTTTATTTGATTGTATTCTATATTTAAAAATTACAAAAACATTTCTACAACCCGATTGTACTGAAAGTAAGTTTAAATTTCATTTTGATTGCCTAAATAAAAAATTCAGATCTCCTGTGAAGTAAAAGAGAAAAACTAAAAACAAAATGTGGTGATTTAGGCCTTTTTTATTTTATTAAAATAATTTGTTTAAAAAATTGTATGCATTTCAATTTAACAAAATGGAACCATATATAAAAACAACTATATTCATATAAAGAAATAGTAAAAAAGTGGGCTACTAGAGTAAGCCCAACAATATAAATTTAAGAAAGGGGAGGTAAAAACAATTATCTTAGTAATGTGTAGGGAAAATTGTGTACACAGGACAATATAAGACATTAGAAATACATTCCAAAAAATAATAATATGACATTTATGACCAATGGTTTTTTTCCATCTTTTTGATGTTATGATGGCTGTGCTTGTTTTGATGTGTTTTTTCAGCAAACAGGTCAAGCTTTTTTTGTTCAAAAACTTCTTCATTTTTTAATAACTTAAATCACATTTATCATAAAATGTTCTAGTCAAGTCTAGTCACATCAACACAGTTGTTCTGCTGGTTTTGACTGGTGTTTACATTGGGTGCTGTTACAATGGATGATGTAGTTCTTGATGAATTCTGTGAAGCATTTCTTCTGAACGGGCCTCTGATCTTTGGCAAATGAGTTTCTGTAGTTGGGTGAACCTTCCCTCGTTGTCTTAAAACATTACAACACCTGCTGAGCCAGGAGTGTGGGGATGCTGCATCAGAGCTGTCTTTAAATGTTATTACTGATGTTTTCTCACAGCTTTCCTGATCAACGAAATAGAAATTTTCTAAACCTTATGTGTAATAATGTACTAAAACTGCTAGTTTTATAACTAAAAATAAAGTAATTAATAAAGTAAAACAAATTTTTAAAAACCAACATAATATTAGAAACATATTTTTTTAAATTAAATTTGTTACCTTTATTAATTTCTTTCCTTGTTTTTTATCCTTAAATTAAATACAGTAAAAAAATAATTAAAGTTAACTATATCAGTATAGACACATACAAATACAATACTAAAATACAAACTACAAACTGGTACAATCCCATTCTATAAAACCCCCTTTAGATGCATAGGTCAAAACGCAGAAGAACTCTACTTCATAAGCTCTATGAGTAGTCAAAATAAAAAGTATTAAATATTTTTAAATATTAAATCCAAATACCTAAATATGACATTGGGTTGTGTTCTACTACTAGGTATAGTTTGGCCTTCATCCTCATAATTTTTTATAATAGAATATGACCACCAGCTTAGACTACAGTTTAATTAACTGCATCAACTTACTGCTTGATAAAAACAGCAGGCAACAGGAATCCATAAAACAGAAACAGCAATTATGACAAGGAGAACAGTATTTGACTTCAAAAATTCACCTGGAAACGATGTTTTAGTTACAATTTTGAGATAGACGTTACAGTAATAGACATACTACGTTTAGATGTCTAAGCTTTTCATTTAGTTTTAGCAAAAATAGACACTGAATCAGAATAGATGGTCTAAATGTTTTACTGGACCCGAACAGTAATTGGTCTAAAAATAATAACTTGACTAAAATATCAACTAGCCTAAGGCAACTATTGAAAAAAACAAAAAAAACAGCAACAAACAACTTACGTAGATTTAACCCAGACAGAGCTTGCAAGAAAGAATGAAGTCTGTCAAAGGTAGTAATAAGATGCAGCTTACATTCTCCTCCCTATAAGAGAACAATATCACAATTAGTATTCTGAAAGGTTAATGCTAGGAAATTCTTAGAAATGGAGTTTTAATATTGTTAGTGTAATATCAAAGATATAAAATTAACGAGTAAGTTGACCGTCAAGTAAGATTATCAAACAAAGAAAACACCACAGGGAAAACAAGAGGAAAGGGGGGTAAATAAAACAAAACATTTACAAAGCCACACTAGAGAACATGCCTGACAGTATTTAGTGATACAAGATTGACCAATCACCAGTGTACCTGACAGTATTTAGTGAAACAAGATTGACCAATCACCAGTGTACCTGACAGTAGCCCAAATAGCAGGGTCGGCCATCTTTGAGAACATCTGGTGAGTATGGTAAACACATTCTTACAGAATGAGAATTACTCCAGTTGAAACAGCACCTCCTGCATGCATCAGCACCTGCCAGATTTTTAAAAATGTGTCATTTATATCCACTAAACAAGGATTAAGGTCCCTTACATTTTAGATGTTAAGGCTCAGATTTTAAATTAGCACACAATTCAATTATTTAAAAAAAATGGTTTATCTCCATCTTTTAGAATGAAGATAATGTATTTAATTGTGTGGTTAAAACCATGCTTTCTCATTTGGCAATAAAATCAATTATGCCACACTGCAGCATTTCTTGTCTAGTACCCACCCAAGTTTTCCAAATCTTCTTTAGCTAACAATATTTTTACTTAATCTATTCACAACTTTCATTAACAGCCAAACTTTCTCCTACCTGCGCAGAGACACTGGCTCAAGGTGTGCCCAGTGTAAACAGAGTGGGCCTCACAAACAGTCAAACACACACCCTTGTAACACAAGCCACTAGAAAATACAAAGGGAAATCTGCTAATGTTAAAACTGTAGGTCTGTTTTAGAAGGAAGTACCATGAAATCTGCCATTTCTTTTGTTTAACTGAACCTCAAACTCATGACCTTTTACGATACTTTAAGGTTAGGGGTAGTGTTAGATTTAAGTTAACTCAGAACAACTTTTGATTGAAATGTGTTGGTGTTTAAAAAACATGAAGACCTACCCATCAAGACATTCTGTCCAGTGTTAGGGGTAGTGTTAGATTTAAGTTATATCAGAACAACTTTTTATATAAAATGTAAACATGAAGACCTACCCAAAAAGACATTTTGTCCAGCTTTAAGGTTAGGGGTAGTGTTAGATTTAAGTTAACTCAGAACAACTTTTTATAAAATGTATTGGTGTTAAACATGAAGACCTACCCATCAAGACATTCTGTCCAGTCCGGTGCCGTGTCTGGTTCTGGGCACTTATATGATGTACCACTTAATCTTTATCAAGGACTATTTCAGATCAATAATAGGTAAATAACAAGAGTTAAACAATTTATTTCTTTTTAATCACACACACAGTTCTAACAACATAAGGCTGAAACACATCCATGACTTTTTGAAGATATATATATATATATATATATACAGTTTGTATTCATTACTGTATGGAACACTAATCTAATGAACAGCAATGCTGAAGTTAGAGATCATTTCCTTAATTCAGTTTACATCAGCTTATAATCAGTCATAGCTTTATGACAACAAACAATAACAATCACTTTACTCGATGGTACATCAATACCAATCACATTATTATATTGTAGGCCTTCACCAATTACAATCACATTACTGAATGGTAAGCCTACATGAATAACCATCACATTACCATATGTTACATCAATATCAATGACTTCAATGGCACATCAACAACAATAACACCTCACTAAAGGATACTCGCAATAGCTTATTTTCTTGCAGTCTGTTTTCCCACTGTCAAAGCAAACAACATCTGGACCTGCCTTCTTACATTTGTGACAGCACTCACTGTTCATGTCACTTTGTGATAACAACATTTTAAGAGTAAAACACCAAGTATTCATAGTAGGTAGTATTAGTAAAAATGTGTATATTTCTAGTATAAAACACTGAGCTTTTGCAGACTATGTAGTAAATTGTATTTATTTCTAGTATAACACCATGAGAATCTGTATATTATATAGTCAAATATGTAATAGTTCTTAAATTACATCAACATTTACATATAGAGCTAGTGTCTAAGTAGGGCCCACTAAACTAAGCCCTTTAAAAAGGAAATTGTTGATTATAAATGTTTTTGTCACAAAAAATGGATTGTGTTATCAGTCATGCACTGTGTGGCCCTCCTTTTTATCAGTTGGTTAACTCAAAAGAGTTACCACTGAGCACAGAAGAGTTACCACTGAGCACAGAAGAGTTACCACTGAGCACAGAAGAGTTACCACTGAGCACAGAAGAGTTACCACTGAGCACAGAAGAGTTACCACTGAGCACAGAAGAGTTACCACTGAGCACAGAAGAGTTACCACTGAGCACAGAAGAGTTACCACTGAGCTCACAAGTTACCACGGAGCTCAGAAGAGTTACCACTGAGCTCAGAAGAGTTACCACTAAGCTCAGAAGAGTTACCACTAAGCTCAGAAGAGTTACCACTAAGCTCAGAAGAGTTACCACTAAGCTCAGAAGAATTACCACTAAGCTCAGAAGAGTTACCACTGAGCTCACAAGTTACCACGGAGCTCAGAAGAGTTACCACTGAGCTCAGAAGAGTTACCACTGAGCTCAGAAGAGTTACCACTGAGCTCAGAAGAGAGTTACCACTGAGTTCAGAAGAGTTACCACTGAGCTCAGAAGAGAGTTACCACTGAGTTCAGAAGAGTTACCACTGAAATGGGGATGTGGGGATGTATATGAATAAGCTGAGGACCAAATTTATAGTAAAAATCATGTTGACAGCTTACGTTCTAGTGGGATGACAGGCTAACTGCTTTTGACTGTTTTCTCATACATATTCATGACATCCACTCACCTGCATTGTGCTCCAGACTTCAAGGTACACATTTCAGAACAGCATTCATCAGCATGGGCCAGACCTAAGGCACCAGCGTCACATTCTTCACCTGGGTCAACAATCCCGTTCCCACAAAACATGGTCACTGGGCTTTTAGCTAGAGAACATTAAAACATTGTTACTGGGCTTTTAGCTAGGGAACATCAGAACATTGGTGTTGAGATTTTAGCTAGGGAACATCAAAACATGGTCACTGGATGGTCACTGGGCTTTTAGCTGAGGAACATAAAAACATGGTCACTAGGCTTTTAGCTAGGGAACATCAAAATATAGTCACTGGTCTTTTAGCAAGGGAACATCACAACATTGTAATTAAGATCTTAGCTAGTGAACATCACAACATTGTTATTGAGATTTTAGCTAGGGAACATCACAACATTGTTATTGAGATTTTAGCTAGGGAACATCACAATATTGTTATTGAGATTTTAGCTAGGGAACATCACAGCATGGTTTAACTGTCATTATTTGAACAATAGAAAACAAGGTTTAATAGTTTAACTGTTTAAAACATATTCTCAAAGCACAAGTTTTAATTAAAATCATGAAATTTGATTTTTTTAAAAATAATGTCCGTTTATTATGGCCTATGTTTAAAATATAATTATATGAAAGTTAAAAAGAACATAATCTTAACAATGCTCACCTACAAGGCAATGTGCAGCAGCAATTTTCTGCCCTATGGCACTTAATGAACATGGTGAGAACCTCTGAAATGAAATAACGCATACCCAGTGTCAATATAAAAATATATTTTTATAAACTTACATTGAAATTATATAGTCATGAAAATTACTTTATGATAGCAATGATTACATTTATTACAGAATTTACTAGGCTTACTTTGTTGTTGGGTAAATTCCCACTCACGGCCTTGTCCCTCATGATATATGCACCGCCCTCATCAGGGGAGGGTATGCATTCATCAGGGTCATGCCTTGATCCAAAGGAGTGGCCTAATGTGGGAATACAGTTTGAACCCTTAGAGGCAGTTATGACACCAAATTTTATCAAATTTTTTCAGCGGTACTACTCGTATCAATTATAATATTTTATTCATTTTAAAATAAAATCTTGAAACCATATTTAAAAGTAATCACTTCAGACTTTGTCAGCTGATCCAAATATGTTTTTTTACCTTTGATTCATTTTCATTTTTCAAACAAGTTTAAGTTTTTTTTTTACCTGAGAGGCAAAACAAGGGAAGTTTTGAGGAGACGACTATAAAATAATAGTTGTATCTTTGGCAAAATAATTATTGTGTTTTTTCATTCACCTATTTCATTTGATACTATGATAAAAAACAATTATTTCGTTATCTTTTTTTGTTGGAAAACATAAAATTTGAATAAAATTAATAAAAGAAAATATTAATTTTAATTTTCTAAAGAATAATTATTTAGAATAAAAGTTACTGAGTTGCAAAAAGTATTTAAAATAAATTTTGAAAATATAAAATTAGATGAAAGATCCTGTCAAAGCAGCAAAAAAGTTACCCTCTGAATTAGTTAACAAATGTGTGAACTACTGCGGAAATTAGCTTGCCGTTAATAAAAGCACTATTGGACAAATGTATCTATATCACACAAAACAGGTTGCAATCAATGGTTTTGTGTAATGATCTACAATAGTTCTTAGATTTAATTAAAGCAGTGAATCTTTAAAAAAATATTTTCCAAAACTCAACTAACAAATTTAAAAGGAAAAAAATGATACTTTTAATAAACAAAAACACCTGCAGTAAAAGCAACTGGAAGGCTCACTTACCCAATTCTAGAATAAAGAGTAAAATTTTTATAATTTTCAAAATATTGAAATACATTTTGCTAGTAAATTCTCAATAACTAATTTAGTCAAAATTATATGGACTATCATTAAAATACAGATTGCTTGGAACTACAACAACAATATGTAAAAATTAATAGTGTGTCGACCTTTAGCTTATAACAGGCATACTACAATAGAAATGGCTAAAAATACTGTTAATGATACCAAGGGCTGGTGGTCTACAAGAAAAGAAAATAACAATCTTTCAATGTCAATGCTACCAACAGAATACTGTATTACCTCCCTTGCTTTGCCCAACCCAAGGCATATAGATTTTACAACAGACTGAAACCAAAGGTGTTATGGTGATACATGCCAAGAAATGGATGAAACCAAGGGTGTTATGGTGATACATGCCAAGAAATGGATGAAACCAAGGGTGTTATGGTGATACATGCCAACAACTGGGTGAAACCAAGGGTGTTATGGTGATACACCCCCACAATTGTTAAAAACCTGGAATTCTCGTCTTAGTGACTGCTAACTCTACGTTAAATATAAATAAAGCTATAGGTAATAATATGAGCCAGAAATAAATACCATGTGCTATAACTAGATTGAGCATTAGACTTGGTATAGAACCAGTGACACTTTCATCTGTTGTTACAGCGCTGTTGATATATCCTCTCCCTGTTAGAAGATATTGATTTTCTGTTTTAAAGTTATAAATAGTTAAGTGTTCCGCTAGACAGGAGAGGTTAACAAGAAAAGATTTTTTATATGATGGAGGCCACAGTATTTGATCAAGATAAATACCTGCCAACTATACTTTGCAAGATTTATTAATATGAGCAAGAAAACTAACTTTTAGATTACGCAGATTTCAGATCAATGCTGATATTTTATTATTAGATTTCTTCTAAAATAGTTTCAAGGTTATTTTTTTGGGGACTATGAATGAAATTGCTCAAACACTTACAGTCACAGAGTCCATTAAGGTATGCTATTCCAAGAACCTGCTTTGGCATTAGATAGCTAGTTAGTAGATGATTATGACAGTACAATTTTGGTAAACTGCTTGTCCAATGGGAGAAAGACTGCAAATAATTTGAGATAACATTTTTAAAAAAGATACTTTCTAGTTTCAGTTTTTCAAGCATCAGTAGTAAAGTAAAAGGGCCTATTTTATCAATTATCCCAAAATATATCTATTCTGGAAAATGTGGTTTATAAATTAGATCTTTATTTAAAAGTGATTACTGACATATATTTTAAGCATGTGTATAGTTATATGTAAACATAGCTGGAAAAAAAAACTTTCTTCTAATTTTAAATCCATTGTCCAAGCCACATCCCTGGCATTGAAGTATTTTAAGCATATGTATAGTTATAAGTTAACATAGCTAGAAAAAAAAAACTTACTTCTAATTTTAAATCCATTGTCCAAGCCACATCCCTGGCATTGAAGTGAACTTTATTGAAGTGATGGGAAGCTGATGGTGAAACAAACAAAACAAGCTGAGGAAACAAGAGTTCAGGGGGGAACCAAGGGGGATAACAAAAACAACTTAAACATGGGAGGCTATCTAATATATAGTCAAGGTGTTTAGAATTAGACAATATTAGGTTGATTATAATCTAAAATATATAGAAACTCTCTTAGATTCCTTACAATAGGTTTAAAAAATGTTACATTCATGATTTTCAACACTTTTAACATACCATTCCTATCTGAAATCCAATATCAGTGATTACATTCCCATAAGGACCAAGAAATTTAGATTGCCTAAATATTCTATCCACTGTTTCTAGTGAATTAATCTGTTTTAAAAAAAAGAAATTTAAATTTAAAGACATATTACCAAATGCAAAATTTTAATAATGTGTAAATATGTTTAGTTTATGAAAAAGGCTTTTTATAGACTTTTAACCAATTTATGCTACATCTGAACAGGTATTGTATTGAATTCAACTTTTGCATTACTATGCTGGGACGTTTTAACGTATTTACAGTTAAACTAAAAGCTGTTAACCGAGGCACATTTAGCGTTTTTCACAGCAATTGCAAGTTAAGCTTAAAGAACAAACATATTTTACTATTTTTTAAGTAAAATAACAAAAAATTTAATTAGCTTTTAATTTCAATAGTTACGACCAGATAGCAAAGCTAGAATTACCATCAAGGAAGTGCATATGGCATGATGATTCCTACATCTCCTTGAGTAAAAGTAATAGTCAGCAGCATAGTACAAATAACAGGTGTTTTCCATTGGATTTCTCTCTGGACTCATGTAACCCGCTAATTCAATAATAAATTATACATTAATCTCACATTTTTTAATCAATTATGTAAAAGCTCATCATAATTATATTAGGCCTAATAGTTTTAATTACTTAAGTTATACTTGAAAATGTAACTTAGATTTCTGAAAAAAATAAATTCCATTATTCCTTAAAAAGTAAAAGAACTACAAGAAATGGTGTTTACAGTATTTGTTTAGTCTCAGTAAAAATGAAAAACATACACAAGACAAAATATAAGAGTGCTGAATCAATACTAGGCTACCAATTACACAATCTAGAAACTTTGAAATTACTTACGTTTCCAATAGGGCATCTGAGGGATGTTGGTAAAAAAATCATCTCCAAAGTTTTCTGGATTCACTGCAGCGCTGTAACAGAGGACCATTTTTAACATTAGAGCATTTTGGTTATAGCAATTAACAGGACTAATCAATGCAACTATCAAATTAATGAGTTTTAAAAGTTTACAAAATTGCTGTTAGCATAACTGAAAAGAAGAAAATGCAGTTGTTGGAACAATAAAAACTTACTTGAATCAATTTTAAGTGAAAGAGTTTTTAAATTAACATCTCAATAATGTTTGTATTCATTTCTTAAGGTAGGGCATATTTATTAAAAACAGCAAAATTTTATTTTACCAGTGTTCGTCTTCATTTCTCAAATCTGTACCCCTGTATGCAATGTAAGTGTCATTCTCTGGATTCTCAGCTGATGTTAACAGATTTCTAGCGGGCTAACACAAAGAAATAAAAATTAATTTGGATTAGATTAGATTAATGTGTTAAAAATTATATTTTTGCTCTTTTATTTTATTTTATTTTTTTTTTAAATGCTAGTGGTTCTTAACCTGGGTTTGATCTAACCCCAGTGGTTTGGATGAGTCAGTCTCAGGGGTTCAGCAGAGGTAAGACACATGCAAGACTCATATGATTAATGGTCAAATTTTGGCAGTGCAAGTGATAGAAGTTTTGAGAAGAGATCAGTGAAACTAGTGGGATTTTAATCAATTGGATACTTTCAAAAAAGTTAAGAACACTGCCTTAAGCATTACCACAAGTTAAAAGCCGACAAAAATGTTGTACTTTTCAATCTATGAACTTATGGTTATAAAACACACATTCCAAATATAAACCTGTTTTCACAATGCTCAGAGTAATAAAAAGAGTGTATTCCAATAAAAACATTACCTCAATTGCATAAGTTTCATTCTCATCAAAAATATGTATCGACCAGAAGTTATCTCCCATATATGCTGTTACAGGTGCATCTTCATTATCTACAAAAAAGTTTGATAATGTGAACTTCATGAAAATGTTAGTTAATATGCCTCAAACAGCATTAAAAAATTAATAAACAACAGAAATATTTCAACGTTACAAAATGCATCAAACATTTTTAGTCTGTTAGCAACTGAATTAACTGACAGACCAGTTAGGTGCCCACTGAAGACTTGGGTTTGATCCACTGTGTAGGATTTCATTCTTCCCTCTCCATCAACAAGATGAGCTTTAAAGTCTTTAGATAAAAGGCTTGAGCCAGAACTAAGTGTTAGCTGGAAAGTTCTGACAAAAAAAAAGGAAAATTAATGAGAATTACATTACGATACTAATACAAAACTGATCAAAACCTATCAAGTAATTTTTTTAATAAATGAAAGTACTTTTATAAACTGAGTTAAGGCTGGGTATGGGCAAAAGTTAACATGTATCATCACAATTAGATCTGAAACAAATAAGGCGGAGGCATCCACTTAAACTCCCCCCCCCCCCCCCCATTCTTAAAACAAGCTATAAGTATTTTTAGAAAAATGCTTTAAAAAAACAACTAGCTGCTTCATATTGAAAAATGTATATTGAGTTTAGTGAATACATTTTTGTAAACATATCAAAGCACTATTTTGGCACATGTGTTAAATATAAGAAAACTTAGAAAACTACACCTTTGAAAAACAGTGAACTCTAAATGTTTAATGAGTCTTTGGTCACCATCAGATCTTTTAACATATGATGAGGCATGTATTTCATTCAAAGTTTCAAAATATTTCAACATTGCTAAACCAAAAGCTACATGTAAAAGAAAGAACTTTTAAAATATAAATTATAAGTAAAACAGCATTAGGCTTAACATTAACTACTTGAATTGCATAATCTGTTTCAATGAAAATGCCTTAATTTCCTTTTAACATAATATTTCGGCAAAAGAATATGAACTATAGTTAGCTGTCCATAAAATCTGTTTAAAGTAACTAATTAACAATTAATTTTTGTTTTTATACATTGCTTAGTGTTTAAGTTTTTAAGCTCAAATAAATGTACACAACTTATGAAGTTCAAAAGTTATAAATCTGGAGTCCACAGTCCAGTTCATCCACAAAGTTGGACTATGTGTTTAAATCATCCAATGAATATAAATTCAATTAAGAATGCAGACGAAGAAGAAAAAGTTATATGCAAACAATAATAATGTAAACCCAAGCTAACATTTATCATTTAATACTTAATTATTAATTAAGTTAATACTAACAATAACAATTTCAAAGAATACGTTCAAGACAAACTAAATTGTGACGGAAAACAGAGATCATTATTTAAATTATTATAACCATGATCATTAATCATTGTAAATATTGTAATCATCATGCATCCATTTCTAAAATTTCTACTGTTTACTGAAGTCTACTGTGATAATGCAAACAATTAAAAATTTAGTAACAGTGTAGTTAATTAGTAATTATAGTATAATTATTAATTAAAGGAACCACAACAGGTACTAGAATTCTAGATCTAGATCTTGCTAGTTAGCTAGAATCTAAATCTAGCTAGTACTACTAGAAATCTAGTAGAGTTCGGAGTTTTGACACATTTGCACTCAATGGCACTCAATGCACTGCAAGTTAGATCTAATCTAGATCTAGATCTAGAAGTTAAGTAGTCGGGGAGAGTAAGAGACTGTCGTGAGGGATGTTTTATATAATGGTAAGTTTCAGAATGCTGGGTTGTGTTAAGAGCATGTCTGTGATATTGCTAATTTTGATTAAAATGCACCATGACTGCAGGTTAAATAAACTAAAGCCAAACATGAAAATATCATTTTGGAATGGTTTGTTTTTTGTAAATATTTACACAGGAAGTCTAACCAGATTTTTTAGAGACTACTTAGCCTAATTAAATCAGCCCTAGATCTAGATCTAGATTCTAGATACATATCTAGATCTAAATCGCAAACCAATACTGTTTGATCTAGATACATTATTTTTCGTGATGGTCAAAAAATCTAAAATAGTCTAAATTATACTTTGTCGGTGCATGACTAGTACTATAATTTAGATCTTAGTCTTAGTATATATTCCCAGAGTTTCTTCCAGGCATCTCTTCGTAAAAATTGGACACATTTCACGATTTTTTATGATAGATGCAGACTTAGTGCGGCATTTCAAGTTGAAAATCAGTATTGATCCTTCGATACTTATAAATTATAAACTAAATCTAATAATCTAATAATTCATTTATAACTTTTGGGCTATGTGTATGCCTATTACATATTTTATTTTAATTTTTAATTTCTGATCTGAAAGTATAGGCCCATAATATTGAATTTCATTAGGCTACTTTTTAAAAAATATACCGGTACGTTTACAAATTTTTTTCGAAAGAATTTTGTTTATTAACAAATAGAGTCAACTAATTACATAATTCATACTTACCTGAAATAGAAACAATAACTCTCGCGTCTAAAACTAAAAATAATAGTCATGAAACGAAACTATTTTAAACCATCATTTGTAAGTGTCAAGAGTTTCTTACAAGGTCAACGTTTTAGCTTAATTAAGCCGTTTCGAGAAGGAAATTTTAGACTAAACAAACGCGTTTATATAATTTAAAATGTCAGCAAGGTTGCCTAGTGTGTCAGGACATGCAGATTCACTTTAGGCCTCCCCTACAGTGGCGTAGCTAGGGGAGGGCGGGTGGGGCGATCACCCCGGGCGCCGACCCTAAGGGGGCGCCAAAAGGGGTAGAAGAATTAATTGAAAAGCTCACTTTAAGCTCATTTTAAGCTGAAATATTAAATAATATAAATCAAAGTTACGAAAATAAACGACTTCAAGGCGTTCCACACTGATTTAACTGTTTTCTTTATCAATTTTGTGACACCTAAATAGAAAATCTAATGGGATAGTAACTGGTAAGAAGCTTCACAAACCTCTCCAATTTATTTACTTTGGAGGGGGGGGGGGGCGCTTTTTCAAAAGGGGAGGGGGGCGCTTTTTTAAGACTGGAATAACTATAAATAGAATGAGAGGGGGCGCAAAAATGTATATTCGGCCCCGGGAGCCGGAATCGGTCGCTTCGCCTCTGCTCCCCTGTGCCCAAAACTAACCCCACTCCACATATTCCCAAAGTGTATGAATAATACTAATAGTAAATGACAATTAGCTTTATAATAACGAGATCGGGTTTAGGGTATTTATCGCCCGACTGGGATAATAGTAATAAAATAGTAACAGCTTCTAGGATAACAGCTTTCCAGGCAACTCGTTTTGACCAACTATTTCTAGCAACCCCCCCCCCCCCCAGAGGCGTAGCGACCCGGACACAAACTTTCAATTTGGCGCCCCCTCATGAGCAACCTTTCAATTTTCAATTTGCACCCCCACCCCTCAAACTTTCGATTTGCAACCCACCCTCAACCTTTCGTTTTGCACACCCCCCTCATATATTTTGTATATTTATAATGCAAACATGCAGCTAAGATGATATTTTAATTTGTTTTTCCAGCCCGGGGACATATGTACCCCCACCCCCCGCCCCTCACGACGCCTCTGCAACCCCCCCCCCCCCCCCCCTCGCTTCCAGCGGTAACCCATCTTATGAAATAAAAATGTATTCTTTCAACACTGTTATCTGAATGTCTTTGTGTTTGCGTTTCCATTGCGATTTCTTTTTTTATTTTATTTTATGTAAAGAGGCCGATGACCCGTGTTCCTAAGGTAAAATATGGCCTATCACGTGAAAGATTTTAGCTTATATCACCATCAGACCAGGTCGCACGCTCATTTGCAAATCAAAATTGTAGGCCCCTAAGCCCCTTTCCAACAGCATAGCCAGGCCGCACAACTTTAATACAGGGACTACACTCTACACATCCTACCATTAATGACAACCCCTAATCACAGAATAGTAATAACTCACGCTGTTACTATGCATATAACCGTTTAATTAACTTGGTCAAAAGTTCATTAACCAACCAAAATGTTAAATAATTATTCGAAAAATTCATTGTCCGATAAAAATGGAGCTTTGTCTGGTTAAGGATTTCATAAAGGGAAACAAAAACTTAAAACTGTGTCGCTTGAGGGTTATATTAAATTGAATATTTATGTAAATGTTCTTGAACTTTTGCGGATTTTCACCTTTTCCCTTTCCTGATTATAATTTATACAATTTTACGATACACACGTTTTCTATGTGAATTCTTTTTAAAATATTACAAGTAATGAAAGAATAATTTTAAAAAAACAACAACAAGTTATTGGTATTTTCTCTCATTTTTTTAAAATCATGTATTATAGTGCAGTCTAAAAACCACCAAAGCAACTATTAATTCACGTTTTATCCCTTCCTCTACGCAGACTTGTCTGCTGTCCTCTTCCACACGTCTGCTGAAGGTTTGACACGTGTTCTTTAAGGTTTCTATTAGGCGTTTTTCTCGGGGGGGGGGGGGGGCGGGGGAGGAAAAGGATGGACACTGATTAATGTGGACTAACTATTGTTATATAAATTATATAAATTATATTTTTTTTCGTTTCATGGGGGGCGGGGAGGGGGTCAGTATAATCATCCATACTCCAGCACAGGAAAGAGAACTCCAGTAAGACATTAGAGACGTTCAATTAAGAGTTTCCACCCCCGAAATTTTTTTACCGCCCCCCCCCCCCCCAACGAAATGAAATTTATATAATTTATATAGAAAATATATACTTTTAACAGTGTCCGCCTCCCCGAAGAAAATTTCAAGTGCCCGCCCCCCCCCCCCCCCCGGAGAAAAAAGTCTGGAAGAAACACTGGTTCAGTATTGTTAGAATTAAAGTTTGTGTTGTTGTTTTTTGCTGTTGTTGTTGTTGTTTTATGAAGGGGGGACGGGGGGTGGGGACTTTTTTCATACTGATTTTATTTTCATTTTTATTTTCAAATTTTCAGTAACTTTTGATCCTCATACATAGGGTAGAGGTGGGTTTTTTTTTTAAATATTTTTTTGTGGGGGAAAGGGGGGGGGGATTTTGTGACTTAACAAAGATAATATGTGTCAATAGTATGAACAAAAAAACAAGAAGTATTTCAGGGACACCTTAAAAGCTTAAAGTAAAAAAAAAATGCTCTATGATATTTTAGATCAGAGTTTCTTCCAGGCATCTCTTCGGGGGGGCAAAGCCCCCCCTCGAAAAATTTTTACCGCCCCCCCCCCCCCCCGAACGAAATGAAATTTATATAATTTATATAGAAAATATATACTTTTAACAGTGTCCGCCCCCCCCCCCCCCGAAGAAAGTTTACCGCCCCCCCGAAGATTTCAAGTGCCCCCCCCCCCCCGGAGAAAAAAGTCTGGAAGAAACACTGTTTTAGATCATAGAAAAGTACGAATAGCTCATTTTTTTTCAAGCATTATAAAACACGTTGAGCCCACATACCTGGGAAGATTTAAATACGAAACTTCTTTATCTAGGTTCACCCTGTCATTGGTAGCCTAAATAATAAATCGTCAGCGGAAACGCAAACAAGTCTTTGTATAAAAAAAGTGGTTCGCAAAGTCACGTGGCATCTTATGTATTGGACGGCCGCTGCTGGCGCGTTTCATAATGGACGGCTAAAGGTGAAAAATTCTTGATGATAATACCATTTTTTTTCTTCGTTTATAAGTTTTCGTCAACACACACTTTAACGCTTTGTTGAAATTCCAATACCTAGGTAAGTAAAGAAAATAAATAGTCCTTTTTTTTTTCAAGAAAAACTGATAAATGTTATAACCAATTTGAAAATTAGTGACAAATAATTTGTTCTTTGAACTTTTTTTAATAAAAAAAAACTACGATAACGGGAGTAATGGATATAATAATAGGGAATCTCTTGAAACAAAATAAAAAACGTTGCCTTTTATAACATAGCCTGAAACAATTAAAAAAAAGTATTATTATTAATATTATATTTGTTTAATTAGACATAAATCAAGTAGGCCTAATTTTTTAAAAATCTTTATGAAATAGATATTAGAACGTATTGTATAATTTCATTTTGTACTTTAAACAAGTCTCGTGTTTTTGTTTAATGCTTTTAATTGTTTTTTTTCTAAAAATGTATTCGAAACATTATGTTGTTTCAGGTCAAAGTAAAAAAAAATGGTTCCATTATTGTTGGTGATGATTACCTCTTGTATAGCTCTTGCTCAAAAAAGTAAGTTTATTCCTTTATATTTTTTTTTAGATTTTGTTTTTTAAGCACTTAACTTCATCTTAAAAGATTACGTTTACGAACCTGAAGGTCTATGTTACATTTTTCTGTGACCTCGGAATATGAAGGGATAGTTCAGGGGTCGGCAACCTTTTGAGACTGAAGAGCCAAAAGTAACACTTTTAAAAATTTACCAGTTTTTAAAGAGCCGCTAACATTTTTATTTCAATACTTGGTTATTGATGAGGATTTGATTTATATAAATAAAAGCTGTATACCCGTGCTCCGCCATTGTGAATCTTTTTTAAATGTACCACCTTGGGAACATAAAAAAACTAAACACAAACTCAACGCAAACACAAACACAAAAGAAAACACAAATACACCACAAACGAAAACGCAAACACAAAAACAATGCAAACACAAACACAATGCAAACACAAACACAATGCAAGCTCAAAAAACACAAACACAAACGCAATCACAAACACAAAAGAAAAAAACAAACGCAAACACCGAGGCATGCAAAATAATATTTTTATGAGTTTTGAAAATAAAATAATATAATTAATAATATTTGCGCATGGAACACGAGAGCCTCATCTTGACATCAAAAGAGCCGCATGCGGCTCGCGAACCGCAGGATGCCGACCCCTGGGGTAGTGTATCAGCACTATGCCCAGCCGCCTTGACTTTCCCTTCTTGCGTGAGCTAGGTGGATTCAGAGACGTTCTATTGCATACAACCCGGGTTAGAGTAAAGTACTCTACAACTGGGCCACGCCGTCCCATTTATCATCATCTTAGAAAGGTGAAATTGAACGAAGAATGACAAGTGAATTTGACATTTTTGTTATCTAAACAAACAAAAAAACAAAAAAATTCACATGGTAGTCAAAATCTTGTTTGGCGATTTTTTAATAGGTTAAAAATAATCTGCTTCTATAAATTATTCGTATACACTTTGATTTAATACCATCGTATCACCCCTACCCCACCTTTCTCACAAAGCTACAGGTACAGGTATTCTGAAGGGGGAGGAGCAGGTACTATCAACATCAAGACGTCATTAGTTTTGTTAGTAAATAAACCGCCTTCCTCACAGATACAAATAGTGACTGATTGACGGAATTAAGTAGAGCGGAATAGACACCTATCAAATAGTCATATGCCTACTTCTATCTTTGTGCTCTTTTTTGCTTTCTGCCGTCCATAAAAATTATGTATTATAAGGTATCTTTTTGGGGAAGGGGGGGTGTCTTTCAAATGACGTCACACTTCAGTCTTCCGCATAAAATTGCAAATATTTTATATGTGATTTGTTTTCAGTCACTAACTTAATTAATTTTTACAGTTCGCTTTTTGAACCCACCCTCTCCTAGTCGTCACACATCGTCCCAAAAGTCCCCCCCCCCGGAGCGTGTTATATGTTCACCCACCGCCTATTTCTATTTCCCAGCGCCATGCCACACGAGCAAAACTGTCTGCGAGGGTTCCGAGACCTTGACCTTGGTCAACAGCCAGCTCTTCTGCTGCGACGCGGGCTACAGCATCCAGTGGAAAACTGACGTCATCAACGGCACTTCTAAGACTGACTGCATCTGCGAGAGGCAGTTTTACGGTAGGGAAGCAAAAATAATTGTTTGGTTCGGAAAAATTGGTCGGAAATTTTAAAAAATTGGAAATAACGATGGTTTGATGTTTAAGCTAACGATAAATAGTTATCTGAAATTCAACGAATATTTTTCTGTATTTAGTCTTTTTGTAAAAATTACTAACATTTTCTATACTATTGACTTTTAATATGAGTTAAAAATAAAATTATGAACACAGTATCATTATCTAAATAACGAAACATTACTAAACAATTTTTAAAAATTAGACCAACTCGTAAAATTTAGTGATTTTTGGCTAATTTTAAATTTTCAAAAAGCTCTAAATACCGAAAGTAGAAAAAAAATTCAGGAATTACTCGTTAATATTATTCACTTTTCGGTCACTAACTCATATCACGCCCTTTCCACACTGAAGGCTAACAGCCCGAATTCATCGTAAATCATTCACGACTCTCCTTCTCTCTAGCTTAACTCTTTAATGTCTTTATTATCTCGCCTTTACCCAGTAAATCACGAGTTCTCGTCCCCTGTGTTTTATATCTACTAGTGACGGACTGCATAGAAGACGAGGTTCAGTGTCGAGGCGCCACTAGTCTGGCGATGGACGGTCGGAAAGCGAGGTGCTGTAAAAATGGCGACAGCATGACAAGCGCCAGTCGCGTGATGATTCATGGGATAACGACCACCTGCAAGTGTGTTCGTCAGATCGAAAACAAAAATTTCGGCGCTTTTAATTTGGCGAACACGGCGACCAAGTATGTGGACACAAACACACACACCCACACACACCCACGCACGCACCCACGCGCGCACGCACCCACGCACGCACGCACACACACAGACACACACCACACACACACACAAATGTTACTGGGTTTAATCAGTCACTTTAATTATCTACACCAGAGTTTCTTCCGGGCATCACTCCGCCCCTCACTCCCCGAAGAAAGTCTATTGCCCCCCCCCCCCTCTCCCACCCCGAACGAAATGGAATTTAAAATTTATATAGAAAACATATACTTTTACCAGTGTCCCCCCCCCCTCTCCCCCGGAACATGTTGTCCGTTCCCCCCCCCCCCCGAAAATATGGTGGGAAATGACGTCTCATACCTAGTGGGGTGGAGGTTTCAGAATTTTGTGACGGGAAATGACGTCACACGCCTAGCTTGAGAGCTCTGTGACGAGGTGCTACACGAGAAAGGTTGCCTTTTATTTTAGCAGGGTCAGGTTTTTTGTGTGTGACCGCAAGTGACTGTATCAGGGTCAGGGTAAACATTATCCGAATTAGCGTGACGTCATGTAGATTTATATATGACGTCGTGGTCTGATGGCACAGCGCATGACAGCTAACCCCGGATCTCGGGGCTCGGGTCCGTAGGACATCCCTGAGTCCACCATGCTCTGATTGGTACGTGACTCACGTAAGTAAAGGCGGCTGGACATCATGCTGACTACGCTATCTCTTCATATGCAGAGGTCATTGAAACAGGTGAACTCTACTTCATTTGCCCCATGGATCACCAGCCCGAAATGTCATTCTACTATTTAGATTTATGAGAGATCTCTTTGACTAAAATGCGTAAAGCTTATATATATATATATATATATATATATATATATATATATATATATATATATATATATATATATATATATATATATATATATGTTTAAAGTAATTAGTACTAGATTTGTATAAGAGCTGGCCTTAGCAACACGGGTTAATTAACCAATCAGAAGGAGTGGAAGATTCCTACTTCAGTCAAACCATACCCAGGGAACATAACTCCTAACCAACGCGAGTAACGTTGCGTAGAGTAAAATCACTAAGAACATTTTCGAACGATCCATAATTTTCTACAAAAACAAATATTTTAAAAATTAATTTTTAAAATTTGAACTCTGTTCATTTAACCTTTGCCCTATCCAACCTCTAAAGTCTACCTAGATTCTAATGTTGATGTTTGAGATGACACACGAGTGACACTCCACAGAGAGCCCACCATGATGGAACAGCTGCAGTATCTGGGCAGTCTGGGACTACTTCCGGAAGACATGCAAGCCCAGGTGAACCTGATGAACCCCAACCAGCGCAGCAGCAGTGGAATAGGCTCGTGGGCCATGAGCTTCCTGGAGGGCGTCGCACGCGGTGTCCAGCAAGCCTTGACTCCGAGTAAAAAAAATATTTTCTTACCTCATGTTACAAAATATGTACATCCTCGGTCGAGCGAGTGTTAGCTCGAACGTCTCGAGTTCAAATCTGGGTGTAAGTCCGTAGAAGATCACTGAGTACACCGAGCTCTGATAGTATTTGACTCACGTTAGGGAAAGTAAAAGAGGCTGGGCATAGTAATGACCACTTCTCTTCATATGCCAAAGTCACAGACAAAATTAAACTCTACTTCACCTGCCTCACGGATTGTCAGGTTCGAAAGGGAACTTCACTTATTTTACTAGGTGTTAAAGTAGGCGCCGGCGTGGTCAAACGGTAGCATACGACTGCTAGCCGGAACGTATTTTAAGTTCGAATCCTCTAGTCTTTAGGTGTGGAAGGAGGGGTAACAGCGGTTGGGCAATGGGATAACGACACCGTACCTTTTCATGTAAAGCAGCAACAACAAACAAACATGTATGTTACTTCCTTTTACCCATGGACGTGAGGCGGAAAAGATACTTTAACACTCATTGAGAGTTTCCAATTGTATGTGCTTCGCCCAGCGTTAGATAGTAGGCCTACTTCTCACAGAAATTAAGTGCACACGGAAAAACATGGTGCTAGGTTAAGATATTTTTGATGCAGTATAATAAAGCACTTTATAAAATGAATGTGCTCTCTAGTAAACAAACAATGATTCATCTGTTGTTGTTTTATTAGAATTTTAAATATCGGATTTCAACTATTTTTACATTTTATTTTCACCCACTTATCCCAGTTTTAAAGTGAGATAGGAGATGGGTTAGTTATTCGTCAAAGATAAAAGGTTTATGCAGAAAGCTTTTTTTTTAACGAGTAAAAGTAATGTTAACTCCTAAAGGTAAACAAACTACCTATAATGTAACTCAGGTAACCAAACCACCTGTATTGTACCCCCCCCCCCCACACACACACAGGTAACCAGACTACAGAAACAGGTACAAGCCGTCGAAGCAGACATCGGGGACTGGGGAGCCCCGGGACAGGCAGCAATGGACTCCCTGCCCCCCAGCCTTCACCGTCGATGTCTAGCCCTTCCCAAATGATGCCTAGCCCTAATCCATCGCCAGTGATGCCTAGCTCTGGTCCTTCCCAAATGATGCCTAACTCTAATCCTTCACAAATGATGCCTAACTCTAATCCTTCACAAATGATGCCTAACTCTAATGCCTCTCCCATGATGGCGCCTATGTTTGGCATGCAAGGAAACAGATTCCAGGTAATGAAATAACTTTAAGTTATACCATTAAAGTCTTTTAAATCATTGTATTTAAGATTATAACCTACTTTACATTGATATAGCCTCGCCTAATTAGTCGAAACTAAACTGATATAGCCTTGTATTCCCTATAAAAATAAAATATTTCTTAGCATTCCCTAAAGCCATCGGGTCTAAATGGAAAAAAAAATCATTTAAAACCCACCAAATTTTTAAGAAATTGTTGTTATGCTTCGCAGTCCTAACGGTTTCTTATGTTTTCAGAGAAGAATGCGCAGGCCCCAGCAACAACGCAACACTGGATCTCCGGGATTTTTCGGACAGATGTTTAACTCTTTTTTCGGCCAAAATTCTCAGCCAACCGGAAGTCCCCAGAGCAACTCGGTATCGTCTGCAAACAACCCGCAAGCTAATCCCTACAATTCTATTTCTGGGCGCAGACCTTAAGGGCACTCCCCGATGACCTTAGCTGAGGTCCACGACATCTTATGGACCTTAGGTCTATACCCAAATGACGTAAACTGTGGTCTATCTTCTAGAAGATACTCTGAACCCTGGATCATTTGGTCCACAATCAACTGTCTCTAACTTTAAAAGTCTTCGAATATTGCAACACTAATGTCTTTTTAAAAGGACAGATAGTTTAGTAAGGAATTTGAGCTATAAATTAAATATCATTTTTGTACCTTTTTATTCGATGCTATTTTTGTTTGATGGTTGTTGAAATTCCTACATTATAGTTATTAACACAAAGTTCTTCAAAAGTTATCAGTGTCACATCTGTTTATACATTCTATTCATGCTTTATTCTATTATTCCATATATTAGGTTTTCTTATAAATTACAGTGTAGTTTTAACATGCTTGTGTATAGTTCATCTTCACCATACTCAGTTGCTAAAGTTGAAGTAAAATATTTTTTTTCATTCTAAGTTCGTTATTTGTCCTTAAAGCTGTATGCGGTAATTGGCTTTTATGTGTCGGATATGTTGCCATAGTTACCATAGCACCCACTTTGAAGTTAAAACTCCATAGTATCTTGTGAAGGTTATTGCCAAGCTTTCAGGATCTTGTCACTATCGCTGTTGAGTTACGTGTATCTTATCAAGGTCATGGAGGAGCTGCGTTCATCTTGTCAAGGTCATCGTAGAGCTACGTTCATCTTGTCAAGGTCATAGTAGAGCTACGTGTATCTTGTCAAGATCATAGTAGAGCTACGTGTATCTTGTCAAGGTCATAGTAGAGCTACGTGTATCTTGTTAAGGTCATAGTAGAGCTACGTGTATCTTGTTAAGGTCATGGGAGCGCTACGTTCATCTTGTCAAGGTCATGGTAGAGCTACGTTCATCTTGTCAAGGTCATTGTAGGCTACGTTCATCTTATCAAGGTCATTGTAGGCTACGTTCATCTTGTCAAGGTCATGGTCGAGTTACGTGCACCGTTTCAAGGTCATTGTTGAGCTATGTGTAATTTGGTCAAGGCCGCTGCTGAAGTACAAGTGTCTGTGTGAAGGTTATTGTTGACGAACTACCATCTTGTCAAACCACCTTCGCTAAAGTGCCAAGAAAAACGTGCGTCTATGTCAAACTTACCTAGGGCCTTCTCGCCTTATAGCAGCACTTGTACAGTGACAGTAAACGAGAGAAACAAAAATTAACATGCACAACACAACAACAACACACCTACAGCTGCTCGCACTTTAATCACATTTTTACAAACATTTCGCATTCTGTTTTTGTCTATTTTGTGTGTGTGTGTGGGGGGGGGGGGGAGTCTAGAAATCTCTGTGTGGACAAAAATACACGCAGCAGCGGACAACATTTTCCGGGGGGGGGGGCGGATACTGGTAAAGGTATATGTTTCCTATATAAATTCCATTTCGTTTGGAGGGGGGGGGGCGGTAGACTTGCATCCCCCCTACCCCCCACCGAAAAGATGCATGGAAGAAACTCTGCACACATTCAAGATTTGTCGTCTTCAAGATGGCGCTGTGTCTAGTGATATGTGATGATTACTTACCTCGAGAATATCCTGCTCGCTTCTTTTGTTTCTCGTCTTGTCATATGCAGTCTAAAACTAAATACCGAAAAAAAACTAACAAGTTTACTTGGCACTTAAAGAAAACAGAGTTTCTTCCAGGCATCTCTTCGGGAACGTCCCCCCCCCCCCACCCCCGAACAAAATGGAATTTAGATAGAAAACATATACTTATACTAGTGTCCGCCCCCCGGAAAAGGTTGCCCACCCACCCCCTCCCCGAAAATATCCAGTGCCCCCCCTCCCCCCGGAGAAAAAGTCTGGAAGAAACACTGAAAGAAAAGCAGGCTGAAATTGAAGTCAACGGCATATATGGCGCATAACAGGTTGACATTAAATACTTAATCTAAAATTGGAGGAAATATTGTCTAACATTACAATTAAGAGCGTAGAAGAATAACCACTTTTAAAATTTAAAAATTTAGTAATTTTTACTATAATGGTCACCAAATACATGTAGGGGTGCGGGGTGGGGGTCAAGTGGATGTGTTCTTGAAATGCTCCGACACCTGGTTGATACATCTGCTGTTAACAATTATTTAGAGAACCAGTAATGGAATTATTAATAGCATAAAAATAGTATAATAGGTTGACATGTAATACTTAATTTAAAATTGGAGGAAATATCGTCCAACATTTCAATTAAGAGCGAAGAAGAATAAGCACTGTTTTAAATGTTAACATTTAGTAATTTTTACTTCCGAAGAGCCTGGTACGTCGGACTCCCAAGTCCCCTACATAACAGCGTGGGGGACGAGAGGTGCAAGACTGCCGGGAACCAAGAAGGGTTTGCTCTCGACCCTATCCAGATATCTTGACTTTAAGCTGCGGCCTTCACGTGGCTTCGGAAGAGTGCTACTAGTCGGACCAAGCTCATGACCCCCCTAGTGGGTGCGGAATGGCTAGTGGTAGCCAACAGCAGCTAGAGGTTTTTGATCTGGGCGAGTAGAACTGCTGTATGCGCTAGGTTCAAAGAATGGCCCCCACGATCAAGTTGGGTACCAGGCGGTAGGACGACGTCCCGCGTCCCGCGTCTGGTGGGTGGGGTAGGAAAGCCCGGTGAGAGCCCACGGAAGTAGCGACCGATGTGTGGGAAACTCTTACGGTCAGGGTTTGCCACACTGAGGCCTGCCTAGCTAATGGAAGTGAACCTTCTGAGCCGGTTTCCGTATAAGGAAGGAAGGAAGGAATTTTTACTGTAACGGTCACCAAATACAAATAATGATTCCCCGAATCGGGTAGCGGTTAGGGTCATACGGGGGCATGTAGGGGGTGGGGGTCAGGATGGTGTGTCCTTGAAACTATGTTCTAATTCGACATCTGGTTGATAAATCTGCTGTTAAAAATTATTTAGAGAACCGGTAATGGAATTATTAATAGCATAAAAATAGCATGAGTCTGAAAAATATTAATTTAAATTTTATTTAAAGTTTATTTACGTCTTTATATAAATCAACCTAAAACAAAGACAGCAGTAATTTAATAACAGCGCTTGAAGAAAACTCGAATCTTTTAAATATCTAAGTAGGTCTGTATGTCTAAAATATCGAATCGAAGTTTTTCTCTGCCGGTATCGTTGTTAGCGTTAAGTTGAATTAAGCTTAGGGCGTAAGTTTGGGCCAAGTAAATGCTGATAAATTTGGGATTGCCTTTAGAGCAAGGGGTAGAGCCCGGTCAGGGTTAGTGTAGCGATACTATCACAGGTAACAAAACCGCCGATACTAGTTTCCGAGTGTGTTTTGTAAAACCGGTAGCAACAAAGAGAGTAATGTGTTTCATTCAAGAAACGCTTTTAATAAACTGCTCCCGCTTAGCTTTTAATTAATCACACTTCCTTCTTGGGATAATTTGGGGGGTTGGGGTTGATAAATGTGACATGCTCTCGCGTCACGTGACTAATTCTCTGGTAGAATTTCTTAATGGGCTGGCTGGCATAAGGAAACGAAATGGGGCTAAACCTAGCATACACGGATATAGACGGACATTAACAAACACTCACGGAGATAGACGGATACACACGGACTTAAACGAACATGCAAGGAGACACACACCGGCATAGACGGACGTACACTGATATATACGAACAGACATGATTGAAATTGGCTGAAGATGGTGATATTGGCTTTGTAAGCGCAATGCATTGTGGGTAAGATTATCGTGGTTGAAATGAAAGAATAACGCGGATGTGTAAGAATAATGTAGGACTGTGTTGAAATAAGGTGGATTATGTTCAAATAATGTGGGTTATGTAAGAAAAATGTGGGTTATGTAAGAAAATTGTGGGTTATGTAAGAAAAATGTGGGTTATGTAAGAAAAATGTGGGTTATGTAAGAAAAATGTGGGTTATGTAAGGAAAATGTGGGTTATGTAAGAAAAATGTGGGTTATGTAAGAAAAATGTGGGTTATGTAAGAAAAATGTGGGTTATGTAAGGAAAATGTGGGTTATGTAAGAAAAATGTGGGTTATGTAAGAAAAATGTGGGTTGTGTAAGAAAAATGTGGGTTATGTAAGAAAAATGTGGGTTATGAACAGGGGTCGCTGGCTGTGTCCAAGAGGCCCGGGAACATGTAAAAGGGTCGCCCAACTTTGATTGGAGTTTTCATTGTTTCTTTTCCCCCCGTCAAAACCTGTTGATCATCATCAATTTAATGGAAATAAACGCGACATATTTTTACTTTCTCTTATTCACGAAGTATAGAGAAAGTCTTGTAATCGTGCAAAAAAAAATTTCGACGTATTACACCTCACTGATAAGGAAAAACACAATTTTGCAATCTTGTCCGTATGTCTGTGTGTCTGTGTGTCTGTCTGTCTGTCTGTGTGTAAACACGATAACTTGAGTACCGTTACAGCTAGGTTAATGAAATTTCATATATAAGTATTTTATCAAAATCGTAGATCCGTATCAACTTTTGAGCGATTTCCGATAACCGGAAGTGGCACTTTTTCTACTTTGAATTTTTCAAAAGCCTATAACTTGAGTACTATTTCAGATAGATAAATGAAATTTCACATGTAAGTAAAAGATCTATATCTCTACCTTCTGTCAAATTTTGGGTAATTTCCGTCGACCGAAAGTACTAATTTACGCTATTTCCGATTTCTCAAAAAACGCATGTAAATTTATAAAGTACTGATAATATTTTTCTATGAGATTCTATTCTATTTTTAGACGTTTAAGTAATTAAAAATCATGTCTATATTCCAAGTTATATAAGAATATTCGAGAAAGTTTAGGGGAGATCACTCCCGGTTTATTTAAATCAAAGCACCAAAAAGCCCAGTACACCACAATTCCCTGGGGCCCACCAGGATTTTTCCCGGTAGACCGCCAGGCAGAGGCGTAGCGATGGGATGGGTACATATGTCATAGGGCGCAGACCCTATGGGCGCCAAAACGGGTTGGAAAAAAAATAAAGGCTCATTTTAGCTGCAGTTTTGCATTATAAATATAAAATATATATGGGGGGGGGGGGGGGCGCCAAGTTGAAAGTTTGGCCCCCGAGCGCCGGAGAGGTCGCTTTGCCTCTGCCGCCAAGGCAGTCCACCACTGAATATGTGTAGGGGTTGTGTAAGAATAATGGGGAGTTGTGTAAGAAACATTGGCGGTTGTGTAAGAATAACTTAAAGCTGTGAACGCATGTTTGCTTCCGTCATTTGTTGACTTAAATTATTACCTCAAAACCAGACCTGCACACCAATGTGAAGAGAAATAAAGTGGATAAGAATACATCAAATTTGGGACTGATACATCATAACATCAAGATGTGGGGGGGGGCAATATATCACGACATTGCCTGTCTATAGAAGCACGACATTACCTGTCTAGAGAAGCACACCATTACCTGTCTAGAGAAACACGACATTACCTGTCTAGAGAAACACGACATTACCTGTCTAGAGAAACACGACATTACCTGTCTAGAGAAACACGACATTACCTGTCTAGAGAAACACGATATTACCTGTCTAGAGAAACACGACATTACCTGTCTAGAGAAACACGACATTACCTGTCTAGAGAAACACGACATTACCTGTCTAGAGAAACACGACATTACCTGTCTAGAGAAACACGACATTACCTGTCTAGAGAAACACGACATTACCTGTCTAGAGAAACACGACATTACCCTCTAGAGAAGAAAGACATTACTTGTCTAGAAAGGGGTCGGTGTGGTCGAGTCGGTAAAGCTCATGGTTGCTAAATAAAAAAGTTTCGAGTTCGAACCCTCGGGCAGATGAGGCTCATTAGCTGGAGACAGCCACACTTCTATAAGAGACAACTCCAAAGTCAAGCAACTGCTGCCTTGTAGTTAGTTCTTGGTTGGACAAGGCAAATCCAAAAAGAAAAGTAGGCTGACATCGGAGTCAATGAATGGCACATAATCAGTTGACCCGTATACATAATTGTTTTAGAGGGGATCCCTCCCAACATTAAAATTAAGCACGAAAAAGAAGAACTTGTCTAGAGAAACATGACGGTGCTTGACTACATAAACTTCTGGAAAAAAAAAACACATTACCTCACAGTAACTATTACCAAGACAGGGCAAGCATGTAGAATGGTAGCTCAATCAAGACGTTATCAAATGTTATGTGAATCTGAGTAACCTCTGTTATACAGCCATGTTATTATTTGTGAGGTGACATGTTCTGTTAAAGTGGTCAACAGTAGTCGGCAGCGGGTCAGTGACGAGAAAGGTGAAGGACAGGGGTGGATTGGCCGCCAGGACGACGGGAAAATTCTTCGTAGACCCAAAGGAATATGGTGCTGTCCAGTTCCTTTTTGACGATTTGTGTGTGTGTGTGGGGGGGGGGGGGGGAGGGAGAAGGAGCGGGGAACTTAAGTCATGCTGATGAGAAGAAGTTGGTACAAAATCATTTTAAAGCATGACGTTATTGTTGACGACTCCCCCCCCCCCCCCACACACACACACAAGAAAATAAGGGTTCATTTTTCATAATGCTGCATTCTGTTTGAAATTATACTTTAAAAAAAACCCAGCTCTACCTTCAGTATTTTAAACAACACGGTGTCCTCCCTTATTCTTTCACACCGTAACCATGGTTACCCCGCACCCATCTGTTTTTGTCACAGCTCTCACCCGCGGCCACAACTTCCTGCAGACATTGTTTGGTAATACAGACGACAGCCTACGTCATGACCTTCACCCTCGCTTTGACCGGCCTTTCGCCATCTTACATTAGGAGAAGAAAAAAAGAAATAAATAGCCGCGCCACCTGCCAGTTTTAGCGTCGGTATCTCGCAGCAAGGATACGCCAAATATTTTTTCTTTCGTAAGTATCCTACGGTTTTTATTTTGGCGTTTTGTTTGTTTTTGAATTGGCCCTCACTTGCACACAGGTAGGCCAATATAAGCTAAGTAAACAACAGTTAGTCTCTGTTGCCGGTTGTACTTTTAGAGTCTAATAGTATTAAGTAATGTTATATAATATATAACCTGTTTGAATATTCATATCTTGTAATCTTTGTAATTATAAAAAAAATCTATATAATATTTAACATTTCACTGATTTTTATATGAGATATAATAACAGGAAGACCTATTAAAGTGGAAAATATTAATACATTTTTATTTTATTCATATTGTCAGGTTAGACGATAACCATAAAGAGTATTTTGGTATTATCATTACGCACATTATTTTATTTTTTCAGGTTTAAATTTTTGTAACGACAGAGAAACGTGCCACCAACATGATGTTGTCGCTATTGGTGCTGACGTTGTCGATGTCTGTTGCTGTGTTTGCTGAACAAAGTAATTATTCCCCAGTCGTTTTGTTGGACATTTTTACACATGAAATAAAGCAAATAGAAACTAAATAATTATAGGCTTCTGAAAGCACTGAATGTAGAATAATATGACAAACTTGCATTTTAAAAATAAAAGCTTTGGTCGCTCATGAGATATCTTACATGTTTTAGTGATAGAAGCTTTTATTAAAGAAAGCAAGTCTGTTTTACTCTCTTAAATGTATGTTTACTTTTCATACTGTCGTGTTAAATACAAAAGCGCATACACAAAAAAAAACAAACAAAAAAAACAACGTATTGTAATGATATAACAGCATTCACCATATTTTGTGGGTAATGAGTTCTTATACAATTAGCTTTGAGTTTTCATTCAAAAATCCGTTCTCTCAGTTTCAGAAACTATCGGTTCTCAGTCAATGGGCAGTTAATATCTCTAGCACATCCCCCCCCCCCAACCCATAATGTTTCACTTATGTTTTCTTTTTTTATTTATCACACAATATTCAATTTTAAAAGAATTTTCAAAAGCACTTTTTTAAAAAAACCGAAATGAAACTAATTTTAAATGTTGCCTTAGATAACAAATAATAAAATAATCAACAGCTAACAATGCTCTAGATTCTAAAATAGTATCTAAGTTGCCTAGATCATATATATATATATATATATATATATATATATATATATATATATATATATATATATATATATATAAATTTATATATATTTGCGTGTCTGGCACCCCCAGTTCCCTGCAACAGTGGGAGAACTTCCTGCGAGGGCAGCGAGAGTTTGAGCATCATCAACAACAACCACCTGTGCTGCGACTACGGCTTCAACATGCAGCTGAAGAGTGAGACGATCAACGGCACCGTCACACCTGTCTGCGTCTGCAACAGACATTTCTATGGTAGGTACCTCATTCTGTAGCAGACATTTCTATGGTAGGTACCTCATTCTATAGCAGACATTTCAATGGTAGGTATCTCATTCACAACAGACATTTCTATAGTAGGTACCTCAGCCACAACAGACATTTCTATAGTAGGTACCTCAGCCACAACAGACATTTCTATGGTAGGTACCTCACTCTATAGGCATTTCTATGGTAGGTACCTCATTCACAACAGACATTTCTATAGTAGGTACCTCACTCTATAACAGGCATTTCTATGGTAGGTACCTCATTCTATAACAGGCATTTTTATGGTAGGTACCTCATTCTATAACAGGCATTTCTATGGTAGGTACCTCATTCTATAACAGGCATTTCTATGGTAGGTACCTCATTCTATAACAGGCATTTCTATGGTAGGTACCTCATTCTATAACAGGCATTTTTATGGTAGGTACCTCATTCTATAACAGGCATTTCTATGGTAGGTACCTCATTCTATAGGCATTTCTATGGTAGGTACCTCATTATATAGGCATTTCTATGGGAGGTACCTCATTCTATAGCATAAAATTTTATGGAAAATATCTCATTCTTAAACAGACATTTCAATGGTATTTATCTTATTCTAAAATAGACTTCTTGATGGTAGGCATCTCATTCTAAAATAGACATTCTGACGGTAGGTATCTCATTCTATAATATTCAGCAGACATTTCTTAAGTTACTATAAAGATTTACTTGTACTTTCTTCTACGAATATTTATATGGTATATATAAATCTACCAGTCTAATATCTGCAACAGTCACTTCCAGTTGAGGTACAATCAGTGTTTCTTTCAGACATTTTTTATCCGAAAATGGGGGAAGGGGAGGGGGGCACATGTTTAAGTACATTTTTTTTCTACTTACATTCTATTTCGGGGAGGACGTAAACGTGCTTCGAGGAGGGGGGGGATGCCTTAAGAGATGCCTGATAGAAATTCTGGGTACAATCCATTTCATCTCACGAACTTCACTAAATATATAAACACATGTTTTTCTCAAATTATTTATGGATGAATAATTAAAGCTGTTAAGCTGTCCGCTTATGCTTTCATTTAAAGTGACGTATGTGTATGTGCATATCTTTGCATAATTAAATTGTGTTTATGTCACCGTTACGACGTCAGCCCACACTTGTTTATCACGTGACGTTCGTTGTAAACATGTCACAGGAAATCAGAGGCGTAGTTAGCAGCGGCGGCGTCTTGATATTTCTGTGTGGGCCGTTCTTTCGAAATTAAAGAATTCTAGAATATTCGAATGTTGTAATTCAAAAATGTCTTGGAATGAACAATATTTCTTGTTATAATTTTGGAGTTATTCATGATTGTTAGTAGTTAAGCTAAACTGTAAACAGATGTTAAAAATAATTTCAACTGTTTATTTATTCTACACCGGATCACAAGCTGCTGTAAATAGCTATAACATATATATACATATATATAAATATATATATATATATATATATATATATATATATATATATATATATATATATATGTATATACATATATATTTATATATACATAAATGTATATATATGAATTATATATCTATATATCTGTATATATATATATATATATATATATATATATATATATATATATATATATATATATATATATATATATATATATATATATATATGTATATATATATATATATAACGTCTGCACAACAATAATAATTTTTTATTGTTTATGTCTCCCGCGTGTTGACCTATTTAGCGACCCTCCCTTTCCCCCCCCCCCCGCCCTATATACACCTGTTATATAATTATATAATTTTTATTATAACGCCTGGCCAGAAGGTCGCCCAAGTGTCAGGTATGTTTCTGGCTGACAGATTAAAACAGCAGGAAGTTGACACGGGTAATTAATTACTCTATGTAAATTGGAATGGCTAGCTATGTGGCGCCAATGCAGAATATTAAAGCGGTGGGGCAGAATATGTAGAACATTATTTCGGCCTGTGTTCGTTTAAAATGATTTAGCAGCTGAATACTTTTTACAACCCTTGTCCTGTAATCGTCTCACCCAGTAAATGATAGCTTTTTGTACATTGAATGTAATCAGGTTAGTGTAAGGGTTGATATAAACTTTTAACGTTGGTCGCTTCTAACAAAGAAAACATTGCTTATATCTGTCGTCGTCCCCCCCCCCCCAACACCCACGCGAAAGTCCATTGAATCTCTCGTAGATGAGAGCAGAGGTTGACTGGCTGTGCCCAAGGGGGTTCGAAAAAAAAATTCACAACTCTAGATTAAAATTTTCATTGTACATTTTCCTCCATCAAATTGATTTTTACGCGTTGGTATAAAGGAATAGAAATGGTAAATTGGAGAAATACCAACACAATGTTTAAACAAAATGAAAACACTAATACTTTAATAGGACTCTTATAGCACCGTCCCTAGAGGCTCACCGATATTATTTTTCTGTGGGCCCAAGATCTTTTACTTGCAGAGTTTCTTCCAGGCATCTCTTCGGGGGGCAGAGCCCCCCCCCCCTCCCGAACGAAATGAAATTTATATAGAAAATATATTACTTTAACAGTGTCCGCCCCCCTTTCTGGGGGGGGGGGGGGGTGGAAGGGAGGGGGGGGGGGGAGGTAAAAGTCATTTAAAAAACGTAACGTTATTTATGAGCGACCCCCTTAATCAACATCCCCAATTAATTTTCCCTTCCCAATTCGTCTCCTAGCAACCGACTGCATAGAAGGTCAGCTGCAGTGCCAGGACGCGACGAGCCTGACCTCCAACGGGCTGACCGTCAAGTGCTGCAAGAACGGGGCCAGCATGAACAGCGTCAGCAGTTCCGTCATCAACGGCGTCAGCGCCGACTACTGCAAGTGCATCCGGTACGCCGGCGGCAACAACTTCGTCAACGACCTGATCAACGACCCGATTAGGAAAACTATCGGAGATCAGCTGAAAGGGTGAAGTACAACTTGTTTTACCAACTAAAATTGGCTTCTAAATACTTTTTATGCCTCCACTAAAGCACAATGTAAACTGCAGTTTTTTTATTTTGAAATGCGCATGCTCAATGTTTAATTTGAAGTCACCATTGATTATTTATCCACTATTAGCCGTTCCGACCAGGCTCTGCACTGGCTTTTGTGAAAAACTTTTCTGTAAAGGACCGTGGCTTGTGTTTTTATTACAGAACGCTGCCCGGGTTTTAAGAATATATTAAATATCCAATTAAATATCTATAAGACTATGTAGTATATGCAATTATTGATGTTTGAGAAATATATACATACAAGACCTAGGCTCTAAGTACCAAACTTTCTCATCTCTATAGTTTACAAGACCTAGGCTCTCTGTATAGAACTCCAGGTGGCATTGGTCAGTTGACAGGAAATGTTCTGGAAAATATTGGCCGTGGACTTCAAGAGAGTTTTTCAAACTTCGGAGATGCAGGTAAGCTTTTTCTTGTCTAGTTATTTTTCTACTTTTGTAATTGTAATATTGCAGGGAACATCTTCCAATACAATTAAGTATTACAAGTCAACATGGACGTATGACTTCAGCGTGCTTTGCTTCCAAAGACCTTGTCTGCACATGAAAAAATCTGCAAGGCAGATGTTGTTTGATTTTAATTTTGGAGTTTTCTTTCCTATCTGGGTTGCTATCCCCAGCGAATCAGAAACTCTCCTTCCCAACCACGCTTCCCTCTTTCAAAGTTATTAATCATTGTTGTTAATACTTTAGAAGAAATGTGTCATTATTCATGAATGGAGATCTTACCCAACTGTTCACCTCTAGCAGTGCAACAGCCTGGCTCACAGACAACAGGATCCTACCCTGTAGGCCAGCCACCCATCAACAGCAACAACCCCCCTACAGGTCGTCCATTCAGGTTTCCCATGATGAATCTTCAGCAGAGACTTTTCCAGGTGAGTGGCGTTACACCCACTGACATTCCAGGTGAGTGGCGTTACACCCACTGACATTCCAGGTGAGTGGCGTTACACCCACTGACATTCCAGGTGAGTGGCGTTACACCCACTGACATTCCAGGTGAGTGGCGTTACACCCACTGACATTCCAGGTGAGTGGCGTTACACCCACTGACATTCCAGGTGAGTGGCGTTACACCCACTGACATTCCAGGTGAGTGGCGTTACACCCACTGACATTCCAGGTGAGTGGCGTTACACCCACTGACATTCCAACACATGGTCGACTTTTTAATACCCCTCACACCCCCCCCCCACATTTTATTTATGGAATTGGGATGGGGACACTTGACTTTTGTCACCTCCTGTTTATTAATTATCATGAACATTTGCTGACCACTGAAAAAAAAATCTTTTAAAAAGTATCACATTATTAACCCTTTCACCCTAATCAGTCTAAAATGAATAAAGAAGTTGGTAAACCCTTTCTTCCTTATCAGTCTAAACTGAATAAAGAAGGTTAACCCTTTCTTTCTTATAAGTCTAAACTGAATAAAGAAGTTGGTTAAACCTTTCTTTCTTATCATTCTAAACTAAAATAAAGAAGAAGGTTAACCCTTTCTTCCTTATCAGTCTAAAAGGAATAAAGAAGTTGGTTAACCCTTTCTTTCGTATCAGTCTAAACTGAATAAAGAAGAAGGTTAACCCTTTCTTCCTTATCAGTCTAAAAGGAATAAAGAAGTTGGTTAACACTCTCTTCCTTATCAGTCTAAAAGGAATAAAGAAGTTGGTTAACCCTTTCTTCCTTATCAGTCTAAATAAATAAAGAAGTTGGTTAACCCCACCCCTTGTTAGTCTAACATTAAAAAATAATTTAATGTAAAGGGCTATGATGAAAGTGTACTCTTTATGTTTCACTCTTGTGTTGTAAGTTTATTTTAAATTGAAAGCATGTTTATTTTTAGCTTCTGCCACCTAGAAGACAGCCTGGGAGAAATGGCGGAAGGAATTTTCTAGATCGGGTCAGCCAAAGCCCCGCCATTATGCAGATGGTTGATCCAAGATGGTGGTTTAACCGGGACTGGCGAGGCATGTTTGGGCCACGCCCCACGGGGGCACCAGTCAGTGGGCCAGCCACCACCACACCCACCGCCGTTTTCTAAAACATTCATCACCTGTGCACTGTAAAGCTGTTTTAAGAAATCATGTCCATCATTATAACTAATCTGCATTGTTCTTTCATTGATGGTCTCATTGAGTTCAGATAGTTTAGAAATTTTAACAGCATAAAAAATTAGTGGATATTCTGGCTTTTATTTACTATGTGGTAGTTGAATAACATCATACATACGTTGTTTTTTTTTGTTATGGGTACTATAACATTATTGAAAAGTACCTATTCTAATTACTGTTCATCTGAAATTAAAGTTTTTGTCTCTTCCAATTAGTTGATATTTTACTGTTCATTAGTTGATTGTAGCTATAGGGCTGGTAAGTAGGTCACCAACCAGTTCTACGTCTCAATAAAACCTGCATGAGCCATAGAACTGTTTATTGACCTACTTACCAGCCCTATGGTCAAGCTGAGCACTGGACAATGGGGTACAAGTTTACCCTAAGTACAGTAGTGAGTGGAAGATAAGCCTGGTGAGAACCAAAGGACAGAAGGGACTGAGACACGGTAATCAAACCAATATCTAAGCTGTTGGAGTTTGCCGTGTTGAGGCCTGCTTGGCTAATCGGAGACTCCCTCTGAGCCAGTGATGTCCGTAAAGAAAGAAAGAAAGTTGATAGTATTAAAATGTTGATAGTCAAGCTGTTGAATGGCTGGCAATGAATGTCTCACTGCCAACAAGGACAGGATATTGACCAAATAAAGATTGGACAAACTCTAGTATCAAGTAGTTGGCTAGTCAGGATATTGACCAATAAAGATTGGACAAACTCTAGTGTCAAACTGTCAAGCAGTTGGCTAAGTCAAGCAACAAATCTTTTTGCAATGAGAAAATGTTTACAAACATGCAGATAGTGTGGAAGGTTGACTGCAGGTCCATTGCAGAAAATATTACCTATAATTAGAACGTTACACTGTTGGTATAAAGTATAAGTCAAGCGCTAACTAAGAAAAAATAAACCACACTTGAAATATAAATTCTTATAAAAAACATTTAATCAAGAGGTAAGGAAGGCTCAACGTAGGTCAACAAATAATATCAACATATCAATGTTATTTTTTGGGTTTAAAACTGAGTCCTTAGGTCAACAAATAGTATCAAGCTATCAATGTTATTTTCAACAAATAGTATCAAGCTATCAATGTTATTTTCAACAAATAGTATCAAAGTATCAATGTTATTTTCAACAAATAGTATCAAAGTATCAATGTTATTTTCAACGAATAGTATCAAAGTATCAATGTTGTTTTAACAAATAGTATCAAGCTATCAATGTTATTTTCAACAAATAGTATCAAGCTTATCAATTTTCAACAAATAGTACCAACATACCAATGTTATTTTCAACAAATAGTATCAACGTATCAATGTTATTTTTTGGATTTAAAACAGAGTCCATAGGTCAACAAACAGTATCAACATATCAATGTTTTTTTTTGGGTTTATAAGTTAGTCCATGTGTTTTGGCGACTGATAGCTTTCTACTATCTGGGATGATCCTCCATTTGTCCTTAAGCTGGACACTGGAGCGCAAACTGCCCAGCTGAGCTTTGATTTCTGACCAGAGACCTACACCAATGTACAATAAAATATCGTGAAACGGTGGCTCCACTTTTAATGTCATTAAAACCCTAATTTAAATTTCAATAAATTAAGAAAAATTAACAGTTAAGGAAAAAACATGGGTTAACAGTACATCTTTTTTTATTGAGTTGAACATGATCTATTACAACATAAAGTGGCTCCACTTTTAATATCATTAAAACAATAATTAAAATTTCAATAAATTAAGATGAATCAACAGTTAAGGAAACGGTACATCTTTTTTTATTGAGTTGAACATGATCTATTACAACATAAAGTGGCTCTACTTTTAATATCATTAAAACCCTAATTTAAATTTCAATAAATTACGACAAATCAACAGTTAAGGAAAAAACATTGGTTAACGGTACATCTTTTTTATTGAGTTGAGCATGATCTATTACAACAGAAACCGCAGCAACAGATAAACCCTGCATCTGGAATAAAAAATGCAATGGCGACAACCCCCACATTGAAGACACTACTCACCTTCACCGGTTTTTATTGTCTGAACAATAAATTCTTCTTCTTCTGAGGTTCCCCATTTACCTTTCAACAGTCTTGAATGTGATGGTGGTTTTCTCTGTCAAGAAAATAAAGATATTGGGATAATATTGTAAGTTTAGCACCATAAACTGCTGCTTGATACTGTTCAATAAACAATGCTCAAATAACAATTTATTATGAAAAAACAATAACAATGTTTGAACTTCAGAAAATTCAGTATCATACAGAGATTTTTTCAATGCCAGGAGTAAAGCTGGGGTTTTGAATACATCTTGTACATTTGTATAAAAACTTTTTTCTAAGACTTAGTCAACTACTATTATTCACACAGCCAAAAGACTTTGAATGGAAATGCAATAACAGCATAAAAAAAGTCTAATAGTGCTCAATCTTAAAACGCAGCACTACCAATATTACTTAAGAGGTCTCGTATTGTGTTTTTCATATTTTTGAAAAAACAAGAGACTTAAAACATTCAGGCTGTAAATTTAATGTATAAAAGATCAGAAAGTTAAAAAAAAATTGTCTTGCAGCTATACCAACCGAACGCAACCAAGGTTTCCTAAATAAAATTATTTCCTTACTATACAAAATATAAAACTCACTGATTGGCCGAAGGTTAGAAGACTCAGTCTTCCTTTAACTGGTGGTAAATAATTTTTAAAAACAGATCTTTCCTTTAATTCCTCTTCATCTGGAAAAATTACAGAATTTCAATAATTAAAGGTATCTAAATTATCAGGGGAGACAAACACATTTCTAAGTTAAGATATTTTCCTGGCAAGCAAAATTTGCTTGGATTATTTTTATACTGATATTTAATTATTCTGCAGACAGGGTTCATGCTCAAAAGTTCAAATAAAATTCCAGGAGTTTTCCAGGACTTTTCCAGGAGTTTAAAAAAAATTCAAGGAGATTTTAAAAACACAGCAGAACACATAAATTATTATTACTACAGCACAACCTAGTACCATATTTAAAAATACACTACCTAAGAAATAAATGACAGCTTAATTTCCTAATGATTGCAATTAACTATCATTAACTGCAATTACTTATAAAACCTCAGTTAATATTCATTCACTTGACACTTAGGTTACACTACATACTAGACTATTTCCCTCATGTTTACCCAATTACATGTGAATTATTGCCTACAATATCAGAATAGAAACATCTGTAATGTGTGCTTAGAATAAAAATAAAAGATGACAAAAACTAACTTCAGCAAAATGCCATTAGTCTATCCTGCAAGTACCTGAATCTACAGTTACAACTGCTGGCTTTCTTGATGATGGTGTTCTTGATGATGGGGTTCTTGGTGCAGGTTTTCTGGTTGCTGGCAACTCAGATGTTGAGGCCATAGAAGTTTTACGTAATTTCTTCATCCTTTCCTGTAAGCACAAAGCTCCTAATGAAGAATTATCTAATCTATGATTTTAACAGTTGGTGTTTCTTTTCAAGTTTTACATCCCCTGTTCATACATAAGGTGTTGAAATGTTGAGATGAAACAACTTTATGGTATTTTTATCAACAGCATCAGCCCAGTTGTAACTTTGTATGTGTAACAAGGCATATAGAATTGTATTTTCAATATGACTGATTAGTAAAGAGAAATTCTGGCCTCCTGATTTGTGAGTGAAAGAAAGTCAAGAATTTATTAGCACTAAGTGTCACACAGAGGAGGAGAGAAAGAGAGGGATGTAAAAGATATGAGAGGTATGTGGGATACACGTACAAGTATGGGAACCCTCTTTTTTCTGTGTATATGTTAATCTCAATGAAGAATCTCACCTTCCGCTCATTGACAAGTTGCACTAATGTACGCTCTGCACTGGCCCTCATTTCCTCAACCTCATCATCACTCAGCCGGTCTCTTAAATATTCAACATGAATATACAACTGCTCTCTGCAATGCAAAAAACAACCTAGTAAAATTTATTGATACAACATAAAATACTGGGTAATGTACTTTTTTTAAAATAAGAGAATCTTTATGAACTGTTTTTTCCATAAGTAATCAGCAAAATGCATTCATAAATATAGATGAAATATTTTACTAAAATAATACAATTACAAATAGATTTGATAAAAATATCAGTATAAACTGAAATTAAACTCCAAAAATAATTCATATCATTCAAATCTCTAAAGATTAAATCATCAACTTCAGAAATCTGTTAGAACATTATCGTTATTTTCCTGGAATCCCACACCACTTACCTTATCTTATCCAAGTCATCATCAGTGAAGTCTTTCAACTGTTTTTTTGCACCGTGTTTCTTTCTAATTTTTTCAACGTCTTCCCAAAGTTGGTCCTCATTCATGTCATTATCTGTGACGTCAGAGTCATCTGTGACATCAGACCTATCTCTACTGGCAATACAATGCAAACAGCTATCAATTATATGTCAGCCTCCATATATATAATATAACAATACTGACCATTAAGACCTATATTCAATTCATATATAAGCCTCCCTATATAACAACATTTACAGTTAGGACCTATATTCAATTCACATGTAGGCTTCCCTAAACAACAAAATTAACTGTCAAGTTCTAAGTTCAAGTAGGTACAGGGTTATAAAAACATAGCTATGCAAAGTTACTTATTCTGACTTATGGCCAATAAGGTAGGTTGTGTAGAATTCACCTATGTCTGCATCCTCTGCATTAGAGAAAATAGTGTACTATTACAACTTTTAGTACCTCCATTATGTTGACTAACTTGGCTAGGTACCCATCAGAAAATAGCCATGAGCTAGAAATTGATTCTTTTTTGTTATTATATTACATCAACAATATTTTCACATAGGACATTTATTTACTGAATATAAATAATTAAATTAGGCCTATAGGCTACTATATAATGTGTATATTATCAATGAATGTCAAAATGCTCTCATATTATTAATCATACATAGACCTAGAGATCTATTTGTTAATTATTTTTACCCATTTGAAGCCATCGAGACAGGATCAATTCAGTGAACAACTGGCGCATAGGCTTCTGACATCCAACTTTCTTCTAAAAAGATTCTTACTTAATTATTAATTGGTAATTTAGAAATAAGTTAAGTTAAATGTATTGACAATTGTTTGGATGTTTTAACTTTTTTGTTATTATTTAAGCTAGTGTCAGATAAATCATGCATATCTAATCCTAACGGTTTCTTAATGTTTTTATTGTGTTTATTATATAGATTTCTATTTTATATAGGGCCTAATAAACAGTGTTTCTTCCCGCCTTTTTTCTCCGGGGGGGGGGGGGGGGGGGGGGGCACTTGAAATGTTCGGGGGGCGGTAAACTTTCTTCGGGGGGGGGGGGGGGGGGCGGGCGGACACTGTTAAAAGAATATATTTTCTATATAAATTATATAAATTTCATTTCGGGGGAAGAGATGCCTGGAAGAAACTCTGCTAATAAAATACTAGATCTAGACTAAATACGCTCAACCGGAGGTGACCGTGAAGCTGCGAATAAAATACGTTAAAATGGAGTTTTACAGAAGACTAGGTCGGGTGTGGGGAAATTGCGAGACGCGAAAAGCGAAATGGCGAGGCGGGAAAATGAGAGAAGGTAATGCGAGACATACCTGCGGAATTAAGGGTAAATAGCGAGACACTTTTTGCGAAAAAAGGTTTTTCCTTTTTTTTCCATCTTTATTTATTTAAATTATTTTTTTTTGTTTTAAAATAAACAAGCATTTAGCCATACCCTTTAACACGAGTGTTGTATGTTGTTATTTTTTATCTAGATACTAAGAAGATAGATAGATCTATATCTAGATCTATCTATTTAAAAATCCTAACATCGTTGCTGTGCTACTGTCATCGCCCGCTCTTGTTAGCAAGAGGAAAATCCCGTCTCAGTCGGCATTAATTTAAAAATCTAGCCCGCTCATGTTTATACAAACGTGAGCTGTGTCATTGTGAATTGGTATAATCTTGTCAGCAGGAGAGATATTCTGCAACATGTATTTATGGATTTTTGTACTTGCAAAAAGTGTAAAAGTATAAACAATTCTAAAAAGTGCAATTTATTTTTTTATTAAGTAATTTTAATTACAAACAAAATTTACAAACAAAATCTTCTGAAACAGTCCTCAAACACACCTCGTGACACCATCTTTCACACATAGTACACCCAATCCCATTTATACATTTTTCTTTTGCTACTTCTTCAAATCCACATTTACAACATTTCACATTCTCATCACAGTTGACCTCCTCGTTCATCCCACAAACAACACTTGCACCCATGTTCTCATCATCATCATCCGCACGCTCAACATCTGTTTTCCGTTTTTTATAATTTGTATTTTTTTATCATTTCTGTAATTTTGGCAATGTCTTGCTCATTGTTGTCACCAGCAGTTGAGTTTTTTTAAAACATCGATATTTTCCCAAAATCTTGTCTAATTTCGGTCAAAATAGAGTATTTTAATCAATTCCTATTACAATGTATTAAAACAGTTTTCTAAAACGCGTAAAAAAGTCTAAAATTCTTTTTCTAACATTGCTTTTTTATAGTGTGACTTCACATCTAACCCCCCCCCCCCTCCTCCCCCTCATCACACATTGTCATAAAATTACAGACCCCCCCCCCCTCACGAGTGTGACGTCATTTATGGAAGACCCCAAATAACACCACCACCAAAACCAAAAAATTCAGATAAGTTCAACTTGGTTTTTAAAATATTTGAAGTAGGCCCATAGCTTACGATATAGCACGAGCAACTGATAATATCGGTGACGTCACTTTATTTTGTTGTATCCAAAATATAATACAAAATTTCTATGCAACAATAGAAAATATGTTTGCGGCGGCAGCGGATCCGGGCACGGCGATCTTCAAAGACGGTAAATCAGGCGGCCTCGGCGTTCGACACAAAAGACAGAAGTTGATCTATCGTCGGTGGTATTTCCGTCGGTTTCGAACAAGGTGGTATTCTAAGTCGACACAAAAGATGGGGGGAGTTGACTAATCATCAGTATGTCTAGCGACGGAAAAATCGGAAGATTTAACAATGTAAACGAAACGTCTTTGAAGTCTGGACCAAATACCACTGAAAATCGGGTGCGGTAAATTTTTCGCAGAAATCTTCGCATTTCAACACCACCCAGCGTAAGTATCGGCTTGTGGTAAAATGCGAGACAAAAAAGTCACGTGACCGACCGTTTTCGCGCCCTTCTCGCATTTTCCCACCTCGCCATTTCGCTTTTCGCGTCTCGCAATTTCCCCACACCCGACTAGGTTAGTATGTAGCATTAGAACAAAGGGAGATAATTTTCATATAAAAACCTGCCCAGAGCTCTTGGCTGATTTTTCAAATTTTGTTTTTACCACTGTCTCTTATTAATTTTAAATTAATATCATATTAATTTCCAATACACAAAGCAACTACATTTTCACAATCTACTGAGGTTCAGCTATAGCCTAATGCAATTACTTTTCATTTTCTTTCATTTTTGCTTATAAAAAAATTGATTTGAAAACAATATATGCTCTAAATCAACTTTATTTTAATATATAAACACTTGCCTGCACACAAAACTATGCAAAATCAGTTAAATAAACCACGTGTGGTTCTTATTTTATAAAGAAATTGTGATAGAATTTTACAAATACATTTTTTATGAATTTTTAAAGATTTGGACCTTTATCAGCCATGTTGTTTTTTCCTATATAATTAGTCATAGTAAAAATGTACATTTTTAAAAATAAGGCATAACAACAAACAGAAACAAGCCTGCACAATTATTAATGCAAATTTACATAAAGGAAACACCCCTGATTCATAATTTATCATTAGAATTCAAAAAATTTTTGCAAACATATTTTATAAAATTTTCATTTTTGTTTCCCACTAGTTTCATTTTTTACAGAGATTATAGATCTATAAGACCACACATTTTAAACAGAAAAAAAATTATTTCTCCTCTCCTGTTGAAGATAGAAATATAAATTTGGTACCAATGGAATTCTTAATCCTTCCTCTAACTAACTCATATGATTTTAAGATTAAATACTCAAAAATTAATTTTGAATGCTACAACCTAGACTAGGTCTATATCTGTATATCATATCTTAAATCTCCTACATAATACGTAGATCTAGAAATCTAGATCTACGTATTAAACTATTTGGTAATCTATCATTTTAGGTACGTGTCGTAAAATCGCCAGCTACTAGATCTAGATCATCTCGATATAGTAATGTGAAAAACAGGTGACTCCTTAAATTTTAATTTTAAGTACCTAAAGGCCTAAAGGCTAAAGAGTAAAATTAAGACAAAGTAAAACTAAACCGTGAGTAAAAGTAAAACGATAGATTACCAACTAGTCTAGATAGATCTATTTATATTATAATTCAGGATAGTGGTGAGGATAGGGTATATAGTATATAGTATATAGATCTAGATCTAGTATATAATAAATATAGATCTAGATCTAGTGACCTTTTTTTTTCAAACAGTTGACAGATACAAAATCCCGCTGAAAACGGGCCAAAAGTATCAGCTGGTGTAAACAAACACAAAAAGGCTAGTATAACTACCGGAAATAAAATTAAAATATTTAATATTAAAACTCTGCAGCCTAAACATAAGACGATAAACGACCCGTATAATTTTTTTAGCGCAATTTCCATACTGGTTTTTTAATAATATAAGTGTCTTGATTTATAAATTAAATTATTTGCATGCAGTTTCTCAAGTTTTTTGTCTTTGTAATGTGCGCCAAACAATTTGATTGGTTTTATAGGCCATTTAAATTGTAAAAAAGGCCAGGGCATATGATACTTTATAGTAGCCTACTAGAAGTACAAAAATACTTTTTTAAAATACAATGGCCTACATTCCACAACACTCTTAAACTTGTAATTAATTTCTAGGCCAGGTTAATTAGACCTATATATATATATATAGAAGTCTATATATATATATATATATATATTAATGCAAAAGAAATGATGATTTATTATGCATCTTATACATTCCTTGATACTGTTAAATGTGGACAACTGCAAAACGTTAATGAGAACTTAATTGAAAGATAAGTAGTTTTTAGAAGATGCAGTCTACTGTGTGATCTAGCAGGCCTAGTGTTTTTGAGAGGAATTAACACGAAGATACGCAGAAAGTTTGTTGACATACGGTTAGGGTCATAACATTTTTTTTGTAATCACGTGCTAATTGGCAAAGCTGTTTTCTTATTTGTACATTTTGTTAAATTTGTGGTGAAAGTAATACAAAGAATGTATGTTTTAAAAATATATTTTCTTCGTCCTATTTAAAAAAAAAGACTTTCAAGATTTTTCATGCTAAGATTGCATACCCAAATTCCAACCTAGCTGTTGTAAAATTTAAAGACATACTTATGATAATTTAAAAAAAAAAACATCACCACCACCAAAGTCTGAAAATCTTGCCTTATCAATGGCATGTATTGTGGATTACACTTGGCTCTGCATTTACCTGAATGGTTATTTACTTCCTGTTTTTTCAAAGTACATTGAAGTAAGCATCAAAATCATAACATTATGCCAAAAAAAAAAAAAAAAAAAAACAGAACTAGATCACAATAAATAGTCAACTCTTCAAAAACTCTGATGAAAAGTTTATTTTCTTCAAACTTAGAAACAGTTAACAAAATGCATCTATAAATAAGAACACTCAGTTATATAATAAATCAAGTGATCACTAGCAAAAAGGTTTTGAGGTTGATTTATATTTATAAATTTCATATCCAGCTTTAATTGGTACCTGGCATGAGATTGGGTAGTGTGCAGACTACGTAATCCTTTTTGCTTGACAAAGACCAAATAAAAAACCATACAGAACTTGTCAGATAATACAGTAAAAATACAAATATAAAATATTCTAATAACTATCATCAGAATAAACAATCTTTTAAATTTACTAACTAACAGTAAAATGCAAAATTTAAGTATTCATTTAAAAAACATTCTGATCAAATATCACATTCCTGTGCTTGATCCTCCAGCATATCAAACAGTAGGTTTGACACAGCTTGCTTGAACCTACGTTTGTTTCTTATCAGAAGCTCATCCACTGATGGGAGTAAACCCTGGAAAAACTGAAGGTCCACCTCCAGGTCAACATCAGTTACCATGAGTGGCCTCTTCCTTGCAGGTGGAAACTGATTAGCATGATATCTTTCAAAGAGCATCAGTCTCCCTTGTCGAGATGAATTAATTTCTAGCTGCTCTAGCTGTGGTGGGGTTGTTGATCTTGATGTGGAGACAGTGTATGAAACTGATCTTGGCAGACCTTGATCCATTGGACTAGCACGATTAGGGAAATCTGTTGCATTGACCTGTTTGGGCATTGATGTGGTTGTGGTGGCAATGACGGAAACATGAACTGGCACACTTTGATCCAGTAGACTAGCACGGTCTGGCAAATTTGTTGCATTGACCTGTTTGGGCACTAATGATGTGGATGTTGATGGATTGACTGGAATAGGCACTGACAGACCCTGGTGAAATGGATTAGTGCTATCAGCCACATTTGATGCACTTACTGTGGATACAATGACAGAAACAGGAATTGACAGACCTTGGTCCATTGGACTAGTGCCGTCAATCAAATTTGATGGATCCTTTTGAGTGGGCACAGATGTAGATGTAGAGAAATTAATGGGAGCAGGTTTTTGCAGATCTTGGAGCAATAGACTGGTGAAATCAGGCAAAGCTGTTGACATCTGTAAGGTTGCTGATACAGTTGATGTGGAGGCAATCTTTGCATCAGGATTCATCATACCCTGACAGCTTGATGGGGTCTTGGTATCAGCACACCCAACCTCACCAGCCTTAATAACCTCCATTTTTTTCACATCTGCGTATTTCACATCCATCCGTCCCAACAAAAGTGATTTCTCATATTTTGAGCTTGGTAAATTATCTGTCAAAGTTTAAATTTGATTTACAATTTAATAGTTTGTGCATTGAAGTTTTTGGATAACTAAACATTAAAGATTGTTTACTGATCTATGATTTAAGAAACAATACATTGCTGAGTAAGCCTAAATATAATGAAATCAAACTCCAATACAAAATATTTCCATCAAATAAACTTAAAATAAAAAAATTTGATCCCTCTTAGTAAAGTAGAAATCGGCATAAAATCGGGTAAAATTGTATTTCAATGATAATATTTATTTTCCATGATAAAGCTGAGTTAACAAACTTGGCATGGGTTTATAAAACATAGCTACCAATACATAATATATTACTTGTATGTTTTCTGGCATTCCAGATTTAATTTACTGTACTTGGTAAGCCTGCTCAAGAAAATACATTACCTGATGCTGTGTTTATAGCCTCCTCCTTTTTAAATTTCAATTTTTCTTTCAGTATATCCTTACACTCAGGTACCTGAAACAAAATTGTTACAACTGTTTTAAAATGAACACAACTAAATTTAAAAAAGAGAGATATATGAGCCAGAAAGGAAAAGGCACCTCGATAGCAAAGTTTTTTAATACATATTTTTTTAAATTCCTGGTGTGTAAATTATGCAAAATTTATTTGACAATGGCTAAAGGTACCCAGCAACATCCTCGTTACATTTAATGGCCCAAAAAAGTACAGCTACATGAACTTATTCATCGTGAAAGAACAAACTAACCTCTTATGATACCTTTAACTCTTCAGAATTGGGTAATTTATAACACAAACTTACCGCTCCTTCATAATACATACAGCTGAATATATAAAAACACTGCTAATTGTTTTATTATAAACACATCTTGACAAAAGTCAGCACTACTAGAACTTCAGTAAAATGCATAAACTAAAACTATAAATCACCTTTAATAAAACAGGAGTCTCAAAAAATTTAGCAATTTTTTGAATCAAGCTTGTAATCTTATGAATAAGCTGTTTAGGATGTGGAGCATTTATGTCAAGTAACATGTCTTGGTTGTCCAGGCTTTTCAAAATTTTCTGTTGATATATTAATTTTTTTTTAAGATTTCAGTAACAATATTTTTAAAAATATATGAAGTAAGGTTAACATTAAATTCTGGGGGAAAAAAAGTATTAAACATCCAGTATGTTTAAAACGGCAAACAATATTTTAATCTGTGTTGAAGTGTTTCAGACATACTTTTTCTGTTCTACTCTTCATGTTGATCAAATCTCTAAGTCTTGTGGCTGAATGAGAGTATATATTATTTAACTCTTCTTTAGAGTGGACTGGTGAGTCTAATGCTGTACAAAGCTGCAGTACCTGGAGAAAAAAAAACAATAGATTCTTTGGGTTTTTACTTTTTTATTTTTTTTTAAATTATTGAATTTATTTTGATTAAAATATTTATGGAACAAAAATCTGCAACAGCTAATGAAATAAATCTTAAAACTTGAAGAGTATTACTTAATATAATACAACAGGGTAGTTAAAAGATAAAGCACTTGACTGCTACTCCAAAAGTCAGGATTTTATATCTTGGATTTGAGTATCAGTAGGGCATCCCTTAGCCCACCCAGCTCTGATAAGTAGGCTAACTGACTTAGGTTAGAGAAAACAAAAGGCAGTGGGGCTTAATGTTGATCAAACAACCCCTTCATATATAAACAGATGAACTGCCATATGGATAATTTTTAGACTTAGAGGGGGACCTTACTTTAAAAAAAAAATATATTACTTTGTTCTTTAAAATATAACTTTTATTAATAATTTATCTGATGATCACACTTAATCTAACATTTATGGTAAAAATTAAATTCTGTAGATAACAAAAGTGGTTATGAAAATAACTAACAAATAGATAAGTGTAAAGTAAACTTTTTCTGGCTGCTTCAACAACTTCGGGACCCAGATTAAAGGAGACATGGAAATAGTTTAGCGAGTAGAAAAGTTCATTGATCAGCTCTATAGTGCAGAACTCCTCATGGCTGTCTATGACGGAATCATAGCCCCAGTCTTCTAGACCTTGCTTCACCAGTTTCAACAAGCTGAACATAATCAGAACCAATTGGGCTTTATCTTCATTTCCTGGCTCATTAAGGTGTATTGACTGTTTCAGTATACCTGGAGAATATTAGCAATTAAAAAATGTCCAATGGTTTAAATTTTTTTACTTGTACTATAAAAGTATAATAATGTGAAAGAAAATCATATTCATTTTCCATTAATTAATGAGAGATAGGGGTAAAAACAAAATCAGAAAACTCAGGATTGAAATATTTAAATGCAAGTTAATAGAAGTTATCTTCCCTGTGCCCTTACAATATTTTACAATCTAAGATCTTACAATAATTATTTATTTAAACAATTAAAACAATAAATAATTAATGAAGTTCAATAAACTTAAAAATTAAAAACTAAACTATTAGTAGTAGTAGTATTAGCTTAGTGACACCTAGTCTTAGAGTTTAGAGACTCTTACTCTTAGTCTTCTTTTATTTAGTCAGTTCAGTCAGTAGTTACTAATTTTCTAATAAAGATCTAGATCTCTAGATCTAAAAAAAACTAGGTGTAATTAGTTACTTAACTTTCTATTTTCAGTCTACTGTAACTGTGCTACTCACTACTGACTGATGTAACTTTTATTACTTTGTAACCCAGTCAGTAATTGTACTGTACTGTTGTCAATGTCAGTTGTAGTTACTAGATCTAGAATCTAGACTAGTAGTTAGGCTAAATTATAATTGTTGTAATATTATAATCTGATATAATCTAGATCTAGATTCTACCTTTTAAGAGATTGTATGGTTCTTCCAAATGAACCCAACTTTTTTGTGAAGTGCACTGAATGCAATCAAAAACGCAATAGTTAAAAATCTCTTGATAAATTTTGTCACGTTCATCATTGTTACGCCAGTAATCCATTTTTTAAAAACCAATCTTCTTCTTACCCGGATATTGCCAGATTAAAATTTAAAATTTGGCCACAAAGTCCGTATTACTAGCTGAAATTTACAAATAATTATAGATTTTAATTATGCATATTTTATATTTAAAATGGTCTATGCCTAGAAGAAGCGCAGTGACCCATCCCAACACATGAGGCGAAATATCAAATTCTGCTCCATATATTTAGGCATATCGTTTAGGTTTATAGGCCAATACACTTTGACCAAAGCTCGAAATCGGCCAAAGTGGGAATCGGCCAGTCAATCGGGGAACAACTAATAATATCTCATCACACCGACCAATCTTTGGAACTTGTCAACCCACATTGCAAGATTGTATAAGAAGTTATTAATGATCAATGACTGTAGCTGGTGTAAGTAAATGTAGTCCGCCAAATTTGATGAGATGCCCCCTTTGGTTAAAAAAAACACAGCTGTTTTTGTAAATTCTGCCATAGCAGCTGTACAACACTAGGCCTAAAGGTATTAATTTTTCAAATTTTTAGTAAAGTCATTTTAAAAAATCCACACTATCAAGTTTTTATTACCACATTTGCTTGAATAACACCGTACACGATTTTCAGATTATTTATAAGGCATCTCCAAATGATTATTATTTATTGAATCTAGTCTTGGTCACCATTCAGGGATTATTATGACGTGACAGTTTGTATTTTTTAGCGCAATTTCCATTCTGGAGAATTGCGTTTATTAAACCCGTCATTTCTGGATGGATGAATGGATGGATGTATGAATGAATATGTGTCCGCAGCTTTAAGTCGTATCTCCTCCTCAACGAAGCAATATCGAGGACTAGTTCCAAAAGCAATTATGTTAAGCAAGTTACGAGGATGAACATAGGCTATAAAAATTCCGGATTTCTTTCATGGATTTCCCGGAAAAGCCGAAAAACCTCGACAAAATGCAGTTTTTGGCCCATATCTCGGCAACCAGACCACTTAGCTACTTGAAACATGTACCAATCGATTCCTGCCATAATTTAGAACAATATTGCCGAAGAAAGTTTTCAAAAATATCCTTGCGTTCGGTCACAAAAAATTTTTTGAATAAATTAAAATTTGGACCGATTTATTAGTCGGCATTTTTAGCCAACCACACCACACGCGTCATCACGTTCAGTAGCTGCGCCATCGCGTTCAATGGCTGCGACATCACGTTCGGTAGCTAGGCGCGCAATGGTTTTTAGTCATGTAACTCTATTGTAAATAAAACATGTATTTTAACCAATGGTTTTACTTACCCTGCTCTTGATTTAGGCTACGATAGAGCTATTTTTAGATAACATAAGGAAATTGCGCTAAAATTGTCACTAGACTTTTTAATTACCTTGTTTTTGTTGTTGCTGTGCACGCGGTGCTGATACTAGCAGTTTCTCGTGCAGAAAACTGACTTCTTATTAAAAACATTTGTTTTCGAACACCAAGTTATTTCTGTACTTGTAGAAAGCACGTTCGACGTTCATGACAACCAGTGTTTCTTCCAGACTTTTTTCTCCGGGGGTGCACTTGAAATTTTCGGGGGGGGGGGGGGGGGGGGAGACGGGGGGGGGGGGGACAACAATTTCCGGGGGGTGGGGCGGACACTGTCAACAGTATATACTTTCTATATAAATTCCATTTCGTTCGGAGGGGGCGGTAGACTTTCTTCGGGAGATGCTTGGAAGAAACTCTGATGACAACTGCACAGACGTTTAGTGTATCGTCATGTCAACATCCGGATGTTTTAACTGACTTAGTTGGGTAAGCAAAAGCGAGGTCAAGAAACACATGAAATGTGCTTCATCTGCCCAGAGATTGCAAGGTCAAAAGGGGAGGTTTTATTTTTTTTATTTGAGCGACCAGACATTAGCTAACAAATATATGGAACCATCTAGAAATGCTAATTAGTACCTGACACTAAGCATCTTATAAGGGAGATTGGAGCAGTGCGTATGTTAATAGTTATACATTTTACAATGTTATACATTTTACAATGTTATACATTTTACAATGTTATACATTTTACAATGTCATACATTTTACAATGTTATACATTTTACAATGTTATACATTTTACAATGTTATACATTTTGCGATGTTATACATTTTACAATGTCATACATTTTACAATGTCATACATTTTACAATGTTATACATTTTACAATGTTATACATTTTACAATGTCATACATTTTACAATGTTATACATTTGACAATGTTATACATTTTACAATGTTATACATTTGACAATGTTATACATTTGACAATGTTATACATTTGACAATGTTATACATTTGACAATGTTATACATTTGACAATGTTATACATTTGACAATGTTATACATTTGACAATGTTATACATTTGACAATGTTATACATTTGACAATGTTATACATTTGACAATGTTATACATTTTACAATGTTATACATTTTACAATGTTATACATTTTACAATGTCATACATTTTACAATGTCATATATTTTACAACGTTGTACATTTTACAACGTTATACATTTGACAATGTTATACATTTGACAATGTTATACATTTGACAATGTTATACATTTGACAATATTATACATTTTACAATGTTATACATTTTACAATGTTATACATTTGACAATGTTATACATTTTACAATGTTATACATTTTACAATGTCATACATTTTACAATGTCATACATTTTACAATGTTATACATTTTACAACGTTATACATTTTACAATGTCATACATTTTACAATGTCATACATTTTACAATGTTATACATTTTACAATGTTATACATTTTACAATGTCATACATTTTACAATGTTATACATTTTACAATGTTATACATTTTACAATGTTATACATTTTGCGATGTTATACATTTTACAATGTTATACATTTGACAATGTTATACATTTTGCGATATTGAAAGCTAGGTGTATAGTATAGAGCACAAAACTAGACTGGACAGACCAAGGTTTTTAAGACAAACACAGGCCTGATAGTTTAGTTCAAGTATCTGAAATGTGTGTTGTTTTTTTTTAAGAGCGTCACTTTCCTTAAAAGAGTCATAGGGGGGAGACCGCTCCCCTGCTGTCTCTGCCTACGCTACTGGAAAAAAAGGGAGGGGGTGTAATATAAAATCTGATTTCATTTGTTGCTGCGAGTTTGTGTTGTTTTAGTTGAATATTTGGGGTGAGCTGATACAACAAAAACTGTAACTGTAAAATGTTAATGAACCTTGGGAATCTTTTATGTATTTTTCGCAAGTTACTCATTTTAAAATTATAAAGATAAGATACACAATGATCATCAATTTTCAAAATTAGGTTACTGACTGGAAACTGATATACTATGAGCTTGTAAAACAGTATAATAATTTTAAGTTTTTAAATAGAGATTCTTGTTATATTTTTCTTGTTTTTCTTGTTTTTTATTTTATTTCAGGTATCGACGCCTCACTCTTCTGGTCAGACAAATAGCTCAAACTGCATTGTATTTTCTCTCCTATTTTTAAATTACTTTTTAACTTCGGTGAAGTTAAGCTCTTTAA